TAGCGATAAGACACGAACAGTTCCAGGTACAAGTAAATGAACACAGTACCATCCCACACGCACACACACACATTGTAAGTATGCAATAACAGAGTTTTGAGAATAGTAAATTATCTTCAAGTATGCATGGAGAATCAGATGAGGATAGAATTCTGTTAGAAGCTATGAGGGGGGAAAAAGGAGTTCTGATATGGGTATATTGTGTTATACAGAGCCATATTTGGACAAAACTACTTCGCTGAATCTGAAGCTATTGCAGGAATGTTTTTGCTAAAAGTAAAAAGGACATTACGATGTGTTCACATGCTATTTAGTATCTAAAATAGCTACTGATGTCTGAGCACACTTTCTGGTATATAATGGACTGATCCTCAGTTAAACTGTGTAGATGTTGCTAACTATTCGACTGTAAAAAACAACAGCAACAAAAAAAAACAGTCAGGATTGCCAAATCACATTTTAATTAATCTAAGGAAAGCGTAACAAAGAAAGATTTCAAAATATGAACAAATATGAACACTTTATAAAATTAGTTGTTTGCATCAGCTGATGTAGTTGAAAATTCTGTGTTATCACAAGATTGAAACTCAAAGAACATAAAGAAATATAACATTCTGCACATCAGTGCTTTTTAGATGAAGATTTTTATAATTATTAATGGTTTTGGACACTTTAAATTTTTTTTTCTTTTTTTTTTTTCTTTCTTTTTTTTTTTTTTTTTTTTTTTTTTTTTACATTTAGGCTGTGGCTTCAAGCTGTTGGTCAGTACTGAAGCAGAAAAGACAGCAAATGAAGGTAAGTTGCTTCGCAAATTATACGTACCAAAGTTACTCCAAAGAATATGAAGTTCTCCCTTGTTTTGGAAAAATTAATTACAGATCAACCCTTACTCCTGTAGACATATTATTTTAAACAAGTCTATCACTTGAAGAAGTTTAGCTTGTGGGGCTCTAATACGAATTTTTTAGCAAAAAGTCTTACCTGAAAAATTGTCAAACCAGTTTAGGCCAAAAAACAGTTGACAGTAGAATCTCTGATTTCTGGGTCTACACGTGTACTTCAGATTTTTGTAGACCAAGGTCACTAATTAGGGATATTCTCAACCCTATGTCTCTGCACCATCTCCACAGCTAACTATAAGTCAGTCTCATTTCTTTACTTACCTGAAGCTGCGCTGCCCTCAAGGACTGCCGGATCTGTGCTGCAGCCTCCCTCAGTGCCCTTTGGCATCCTGGCTTTCATGGAAGAAACTCTGCAGATTGTGAAGCAGTACTCCTCTGCGCCAGCAGCTCCACTTTTTGATTGCTTTTAGGGGCTTTTATGAGACCTGAAGGCAAATGCCCCATCTCTAATATCCAGTTCATAAGTGAAGTTGAGCTTTACTGCTGGACAGCCATAGCCATTGGAAGTGATTTTGCATACCACAGCTGAAGAAGCCCAACTTTAGTGATTCAAAACTGCATGCCTGGACAAAAAGGATGGAAAAGAAAATCAGGAAACAATTAAACTGTTGTATTTGAGTGTCTGTAGAGGAAGAGCCTAATATTAGCAAAGCTTTTAACATTGTGGAGAAGGGGATAACTGGAATGGGTATTTAGATCTGTACTTGATTCCTGACTTCCAATAGCAGAAGTTAGTTAACTTTTAGAATGGAATTGTGAGGAGGTGCTTTAATTTCTTGACTGCTTCAAATGCAGTTTTCTTACTTTTTACAAGATTCAGCCATACACAGCATAGGATCTCAAACAGGAGTAACTGAATAAACTTATCTGATCTGCCATGTGGGAGAATCAGAGTACGTTGGCCATGAACCTTTTTTGCCTTATTCCTAATAATACAAAATACCAGAGAAGTTTAAAATAAACAAACAAACAAACAAAACCAACACCACCACTTTTCTAAAGCAAGAATTGCTTGATAGACTTACCTATTATTTAAATGAGTTCAGGTTGCCACAACTCTGCAGTGGTGGATTTTTAGGCTTCTTTAAACACAACTTTATGTAACAGGGTTTTATTTTAAAAGTACTGTGTAACTTTTGTCTCTGATTTTTACATCCCCAGGTACCTGATGGATTTTTTGCTCATTTCTATGCTATATGTGAACATATCAGCCCTGTTTTGGCCTGGGGTTTTTTGGGTCCTAGAAATTCCCTTTATGACTTATGCTGCTTCTTCAAGGTGTGTTCCTTCTTCTTCATTACCCCTTATCTTAATTAAAAAAAAAAATCAATCACATTGAAGAAAAGAAATGAGGATCTTGCTTATAGGCACACATTTGTATTTTCCTAAAATTAAAGCAAACAGTAAAAAATCATGAAAATATTTGCTATCGTATTGACTAAGCTTTTTAGGCCTAGAACTGTTCTATGAAGTATATTTCAGTGCACTTCTATCTCTGCACTGGAAGAAGACGTAAATGGATGGCTTTGTGAAATGTGCACAAGAAATAGATAACATTGCATGCTTTTTCTTTTTTCTTCTTGTAAATAAACACACATTTTTCCTTTTTTTTTTTTTTTTTTTAATCCCCCCCACTAGGATCAAGTGCTTTTCTTCCTCAAAGACATCTTTGACTTTGAAAAGGTACGATACTCAACTATGGAGAGTTTGGCTGAAGACCTTATGCAATTATTAATCCGACGCACTGAACTTTTGATGGCCTATCTTGGAGCAGATTCATTGAAACATGCCAGTGCTTGTGTAAGTGGTCACGGGCATGTGATGACCAGTGGGCTCTTAGAAGCAAAGGTTCAGTAAGCTTAAAATCCATGAAATATGAAATGGAGTGCACTTTGACATGCTCCTTCCCACCTTTCTTTCTAACCCCAAAGCTTTCATTGCTGTTAATGAGCAAACGTCTGAAAATGTACCATGTTGCTAAGTAAGGAAAAGGACTCAGGGAGGATACACATCTACAAAAAGAACTGGTGAGCATACTGTTGTATATATCTAAATTAAATGTGCAGCTCAGCTGACATCATATTTATATTTAATGTATCCCAAAGCTTTTTTTCTGTAATATTTTGGTAAAGTTTATTTATGAAATACCGTACTTTTGCCACAGATAATTTGTAAGTGGAGCTGATGGATGTGTCTCATGTAAAGGCTTATAGTACAGAATGTTCACTACGGAGTCTCAAAGTCATGATGTGTCTAGGCCAAGGAGGTGTTTCACTGGAGGTATAAACAGTTACACAGTCTCTGATTCATGTGACACGTGCAATGAAGTAATCACAGTCACAAAACTGAACATGTTGCCACTGCCCTGAAGTTGCATTTGTGTGGATGTAAGCATTCATTTTGTACTGCAGTATAATAAGAATGATGCAGGCACCATTTGGGCAGTAATGACTTCCAGTATGCATTTTTTGCTTTATTTTTTTGTGCAAAATCTAATAATCATGAAGGTGTTTGTATGAGACCACTTTTTATATCCGAACAGCTATGCTAGTTTCACCAATATTTTTTTTTCTTTTTTAAATCTGCAAAGACTTTAAAAGGTGGTGATGGATATAATCCTTAGTTCTTATGTAGCATTTCAAAATACGTTTTTAAATCATGATAATTTTTTAATCATGAAACAGAATCAAGGGCATTGTTTTGTAATTAAAAGCATTTATGTCTTCCTGCCTTCCTTGTAAGGAAGTCAATTACCTATTTGGAAGGAAATGTGGTGATTTTGGCCATAAACGTTAACATGCAAAAGTGTGGTGGCTCAGGATATGGAAACCTTAACTTTGGTTAGGAGGCAATACTGTAATGAGGCATGAGAAAACTTGCAGCAACATTTTGACTGTGTTAAAGCTAATAATGAGCTATAGTCTTGAATTCCTTTAAACTGACACAGTGTTTTCTAGTGAGCTTTTAAACTACGTTGATGTATTCTTGGCCACAGAAAGCCAGCCTACAAGAATCCAGCCTGTGTTAAGTAAGTAATAAGACTAATTACAGACTAATTCTAAACGTTCAGATATTCAGGAGCATGTTGTTGTAATGTAACATATTGAAGCAAACTCTTATTAGAAACATTTCAACTATTGTTGCACAAATAGCCGAAACTGATGGTACTTGAAGATGAGGACCTGTGTCTTTCCATAGGTTTTACTGAAGCCAACATTTTGTCGTGTTCATTTGATAAAGATTATGAAAAAGTGTCATATGACTTGTGTGAAATGCCAACTGATTATATTTAAAAAAAAAAAAAAAAAAAAAAGGACTATAATTCTATGTGTAATAAAATAGAAGTTCCAAATGCTGCTGTTGCACTGTTTCCACCATTCAGGTTGCTGAACTTGGCACTCTGCTATACTTTTGTTCTCAGTTGATAATATCTGCAATACCAGAATGTGAAGTTTGTGTCACCCTTCTCATTTATCTTAAGCATACTTATCTCCTCTTACTGTAGTGCTCAGAAATTCCTGTATTATGGCAGCTTTCTGCAGTCTGTGAATGGAATTATATTGAACTATAAGGTGTCAAACTGGATTCAGAATCAATAAGAGAGTAAATGGCATATTTCACATCAAATACCACCTGGGCACTTAGAGTGGCACAGGAAGCTGTGGTTTGTCTGGTCCAATAAAATGTTGAGAAAATGATACCTTAGCATTCGTCACAGAAAAGCAGAAATGCACATTTTTACAGAAGTAAATACCTAAGTGACCAATTCTTGTATTTATAAAATACTCCTCGAGAGAGTACAACCCAAATGTTATTCAATAGTGCTGATGTGAGGCTGTTTTCAAAGGATTTAATTCTATGGTTTTCTGTCAGAAATGAAAGGATTTAAAACAAAAACCAATATGCTGGGCCAAAATATTTAGAAAATGGTTAAGTACCTGATATTTTTGGTTCAACAATGTATCCCTTTAGGTCAGGAATGCTTCCATGACATCACAGAGCTCTCAGAAGTCCGTAGAATCAGGTCAGAAATGAGGCTGATGTTTCCCATTCAGAATAGGAGTTACAGCATCTGGTTGCAGAGGTATCAACAATTCTTTCAGACTTTGGCTTCTGATTATGTGAACTTTCTGGGAAAAAATAAAAAAAGAAAAAAAGAAAAAGAAATTAAGGAAGAAAGAAATAGGTAAGGAGAGAGAGAAGAAGGGAGGGAGGGGGGAAAAATGGGGAACAGAGAAATGTACATGTACAGATACCTTTGGGACCTTTTGGACCTTCTCCCAAAAGTATTTGCATATTCTGCCCTTCCCAACTCCAAAAGAAGAGCTGTGAATTTAAGTGGGAGGGAGCTGCCTTCTTGCTGAGGTTTATACAACTGAGCTTGAGAGGACGTACGGACTGTCTGTTGATAACTGCCACACAGCTGAAGAATTCCAACTCTGCCACCTTTGAAAACTCAAATGCTAGAGCTGCACCAAAGCAGTGATGGTATGGTGTGGCTTTACTGAATTCATAACTAAGAAGTAAGAATTTAGTTCATAACCTCTTTTTAAATAGTTTTGAATGCTACTTTCTGTGCTAATAAGAGCAAGCTAAATTTAAAAGCCATCCTGTTCTGTCATAACTAAAGCTAAGATCAGGAATGTTGAACGTGTAAGGACCATAGAAGAATAAAGTATTTATATCATTTGCCATTTTGTTGTTATAATCATCTCACTTTTAATGCATTCTTAATGGTTATTATACTTCTCTTTTGTAGTCTTCAGTTTCTGTCAAACTAAATGTGTCAAATCAAGTGCTTGAGTAAGCATATCTGTGAACTTCCCATTGCCGAAATGAACTGCAGTTGTGTTACTAAATAAAATAATACCGTGACTTTTTTGTTTGGATAACTGTCTAAAACTTGAGTTTGCACAATTCTTGACATCTAATGTAAAAATATTTAATATGGAAGCAGTTTTAATACCAGTTAGCTATCTAAATTGAAATTTAAATTTGCTTCTTAGAATCTAACAAAAATATGACAATGTTGAACATATGAGAAAAAAGAATGGAATGGGGTCAGCTGTCCAGTTTAAATCGATTTTGTAGATTCGTTTCATTCTGCTTCTATTGTACAAAGCAGTGATCAATTTTCAACACATTGGCCAGCAGTCCACCAAAAGCTGAAGAGTGGAATTTTTAGCCCTGGAAGTCAAACAGGTGACTCAGGCAGACATCTTCATAAAGGAAGAGAATCCTGCCCGAAGGATGGTTGTCGTGCTGCAGACACAGCAGGTATCAGAGGTGTGACAAAGGCAGCGGCTGGTCTGCTGCTGAGATCTCTGCCTAATCAGTATAGTTTAATTGCATTCTTCTATTTCTGTCAAGTTGTTATCTCTTTTCTTGGTTTTAGGAGCTGTTTTTTTGTTTTGTTCTGTTTTGTTTTCAGGTTTATTTCCAAATAGTCCCACTACCGTGAGCTCAGGCTGTGAACTAAGGCTTCCCTGGGGGGCAGGTAATGAAATGTAGAACTTAAGGATGGTGTCCAGTCCTCACTGATGCACAACAGCAGTGCATATATGTTTTGATATGAGCAAATTTCTGCAAATTTCAGTATGTCTGCTGAAAGCTGCTAACTGAATGCCTGCCCTTAGCGCTCGTGCCTTGACTTTGGCAGTACAATTCTTCTGAGCATGGCACGAGGGAAAAGTTCTGTGCTGTCCTTTGAAATACATACTGTGTTTTAGCATTGGTATCTGTTGTTCAGATTGGCAAAGGCTGAGGGCGTGTGGTTATCAGCCCCGTGCCTGTGATTCCGGCTGCCCCTTGGCTCCAGTCCGGCAGACAAAATACAAGGGAGATAGAAAGGAGGACGTTCTGCTGCGCTGGGGACCGTGCAATTGGAAAGGTAGGAAACAAGGGGGAAAAGGAATGCGTTCAGATGTAACAAGACCACGCTCCTGCCTGTGCTTAGTGAAGTTTCCAGAGCAAGGCGCTGCTTTAGGCTGAACGCGCTCTGGGTTCTGGCACGGGCCGGATTCCTGTCCGCTCCATCAGCTAACTGTCACAGCACTATTATTAGGCGATTGCTTCGCGTGTGCCATAAAGCGACCGCGGAGCTGACGGCGGCAGGTTATAAAGCCGCCCCGCAAGCGGAGCATGAGGCAGCCGCTGCCAGCAGCGCTCCGCAGCCGGGAGCAGCGCCGGGGGTGAGTGTGCCGTGCGGGACTCGGGGCTCCCTGCGGCGGGGATCCGGGACGGGGACCGAAACGCTGCCGGCCCCGTGGCTCTGCCGCTGCCCCGCGGCCAGGAATGCGCAGCCCCCTTTTCGGGTTATTTATAGCTCCGTGGTGCCTCCGGCCCAAAATAAACCCCTCCGTCGGCCGGGGACGGCTGTGCGGGGTGAGGGGCGGGGGGGGGGGGGAGCTGACAGGGCGGCCGGGATGAGCCCCCCGCCGCGCCGAGGGGCCGGGCACGCCGAGCCGCCACGGGCCGGGGCTGAGGCTGAGGCTGAGGCGGGACAGCTGCCGCGCCGCGGGGCTCGCCTGGAATGCGGGCGCCGGCCGCGCGCCGCGACTTTTATGGAAAGTTGCAGCGGCGGAGCGGCGGCCGCAGCCAAGGGGCGCTCCGCAGCCGCCACCGCTCCCGCCCGCTCCGCCGGGATTACGCCGAGACGCAGCGGCGGGGCAGCGCTCCCAGGTAAGGAGCGGAGGGGCTCCCGTCGGGCCGGACCCCTCGCCGGGCCGGGGTTCGCTGCGTCCCCTCTGAGAGGGGCGGCGGTGGGGCGGTGGGTTCCGCAGAGCGGCACCGGGCACCGCGGGGCCCCGGGACGCCTCTGGGGGGTGAGGGGCGGAGGGCTATGGAAGGGGCTGAGCGCCCCGCGGAAGGAGCTCCGAGGCGGCACGGGGTCGCGATGCGGCGCTGCTTCCCGCGGAGCGGAGCGCTCAGAAATCCCGCGCGGCCGTGAGACGCGTGGCTCCGCGCGAGCGCACCGGGAGCTGCCAGCGCCGGGCTGCGCGTCTGTGAGCGCCGAGCTGTTCGTGAGCGCCGTGCTGCTCCTTTGCTTTTGAGCGCAGTGCTGTTTGTTAGCGGCTGCCGTGCTTCTGCCGCTGTAGGGCAGCGTGGCTCGGGGGAAACGGTGCGGTCCTCCGACAGCTTACCAACGATTTGTTAGCGGTTTTGGCCTGAGTGTGTAAGAGCTTCTGTCGATACAATGAACATTCGCGAAGAAAAAGCTGAGCGGAACGCAGCACCGTTCTGGAGCCAGCCGGGGGCTGTGTGTTACAGAGCAGTGCTGCTGCCCTCAGGTCTCTTAGAAAAATGCCTTGTGAAACGAAATTATGAGATGATAATTAGTCCTACTGGCGGGCCACGCGCATTAAGGAATGCACACCAACATGGGAACACATCTGGTATGTGCAGAAAACCCTCAGCGAAATACAAGAACTGGGCAGACAGTTCAGGACACATCCCCAAGAAACGCTTTCTCTGGCCGTGTCTGGAATGCCATACAGGGGTGTTTTCCTCTGTCAGATAGTCCATAACTTACAAGACATGGACATTCCACCTTGTAGCTCTTTCAGCAAGGAATGGTGCCGCAGCTGAGCTGGGAACGAGATGAGGAAAGCTGAGGTGAGCTCAGAGTGAGCCATGCTGTGCTCTGGTGTCCTTGGCAAAGGCACTGCCCTCAGACATTGGCCCAGCGCTCAGTAGAGTGGAGATGGTCAATGGAGCTCACTCCATGCGGTGAAGGATCCGTTTGTCAGAGAAGCAGCACGTAGGCTGTGTGCTGGCATCTGAGATGGGAAGAGGCAAACTGCAGCCGTACCTCACGCGCAGTGTTTTGTCCCACATTTCTGTGCCCGCTTTCCAAGTCTGCCAGTGACGACAGCAGGAGTTGAGCTGAAATCTTAGGGTTTCTCTTCAGCTTCTGGGACACAGCAGGGGCTGGAGGAACTGTGGCACGGGGCAAAATATGCATTTTTCTCTTGGGGATCTGACTTCACAATTTACTGCGCCTCGTAATCAGGATCAGCAGATGTTTGGAACATGGAATCGTGGGCCTGAATATCTCAACAGCACTTCCCTGGGCCCCAGTTTTTCTGGAGTATGCTTACCCATAATAGCACCTGAAGGGACCAAGGAATTAAGGGGCAGATCTCTTCCACAGAGAGGGGGGATTTTATTTTTCTAACATAGCAGCTGGGCTGCATGGCATTGTCACATTAAGTGTATTCGGAGTTGTATAAACATATTCAAAATAGCTTCTACTAAGTAGATTTTAATAAACAGCATAATATCTGCAAAGGCCATTCTGCTGTAACAGAAGACTCAAAGTGCAATAATTCTAAGAGGGAGGATAAGATTGTAGATGAAGTTGAGCTACCTGAGTCAGTTTTTGGTAGGTCCTTATTAATAAGTCTTTAATCGTAAAGACTTCGTGAATTAAATACAACTGAGTGGAAGTAGTTTTGTATTCTACAAAAAGTAATGGCTGGGCAGCTGGTGTTAATTGTCATTGCTCATTGGCTGCAGAGGAGCTGACAGTTTATACCAGCTCAGGACCTTCCCCCGTGCCTGATAATTTTAGAATCTACTTTAGTATCTGTAATTTAGTACAACAACTGGTAGTGTCATACCAGAGAAGTTGCAGAAGGGACAGAAATGGTGAGCGTTGCTCACCTTCTCCTCCTCTTTCCAGTTCTACTTAATCCTTCTTTAAATACTTTAGCATTACGGACTGTGTTTTCCTCTCTTAAGTGCTTTGGCTGCAAGTGGTAAGTTTCCAAGACTCACAATATGGTTTTCTTATATAATGGAGTCTTCCCTGCAAGTGGATCACAAAGAGAGACAGATGGTAACCGTAACTTAGACCGTGCTGCAGAGGGCTTATTTATAACTCACAGTAGCCAGGAAGACGGCAGGGGGGCCTCCTGAAAGGAGAAATCACAGAGCAACTCGACGGTTATTTTAAGTCCTGGCTTTGTACTCCTATTTGTAAAGAGTAGGAAAACATTTGTATTTCTCTGCATCTCTCACGTGAGGATGTTAATTACTCCGCTGAAATAAAAATAAGTTATATTTAAGTAGGTAGATTTTGGGACTTAGGAGCTATCAAACTTCTTGCATCCCCTTAATGGTTTTAATTTGTTCAGTTTTAGGATGTTTTCCCTAGAGTAAGGTTTTAGGAAGTCTGTGTGAAAAGCTGAAGTGCAACAATCATAACAAATTGAGACATATCACCAGAGCTGATGACATAACCATTAAGAGCATGCAAATAACATGCCTGAAAACAGACACATTCGTTTTCTCTATGAAGTACCTATACCCAGAGTATTTCTGATTTGTTGCCTCATTTTCTGCACATTATTGGATTTGTACTACATTTTGACTTGAAACTTTTGAGAGATGTCTTTGCATTGCAGCCAGTCAAGCCATGTGCACAATGGTGCTTTCTCTAACACACAGCTCCAAATGTAAGACCATTGGTCTAATGTTGGAGGTTAAATTTTCCTTCTAGAAAAATCCTGATGTATACCTCTTCTAAAGATGTTTCAGTACAAATATGAAAATGCCAGACTTAACATTTCCTGAGATATATCTTAAGCTTAGGGAGGTAAAATGTGAGAAAAAAATGATATGAACAGTGTGATGTGAGTGCTAAGGTGATGAGATTGGATAGGAAAAGAAAAGCCTTCACTTTTTGGTCATTTATGTTCAATATTGTAATCTTGGGATTTTCAGAGTGCAAATCTTTGTTGAGGAGCTCCTATGACTTTTCCTCTGATATGATGGTTTCAGGAAATAAAAGACTAGAGTAAATCTTAAGTTCTTGACAACTTCATAATAGAAGGACAAATGTCTTCTGAACTAAGTACACACACATGTAGACCCTTGCTGCCCTGAAGAATAAGCATTGCTTGTATTAAATAATATCTTACTTAAAAGTTGCTATTGTTAGAAAATAGCAAAATGTCAAAGTTTCTTGGATTGGAAAATTAGCACATGCTTTCTGCAAAGCTATCGGTAGATGATGAAGGAATTATTCTTCCACAATTTGTAGGCTTTAGGGCTTCCTGACCTTGAAGGAAACCACTCAAGTGGTCCCCGAAGCAAGGTCCTGCTGCTGTTCATGTTTGAGGTATAACTGGCATGAAGAGGGATGAGGGGGAAAACATGGGCTGTATCATATGCAGTGAGGACCTACTGCTTTACATCCATATCTATTAGCATCAGAGGTGGAGGCAGGATGACTTACAGCTGCAAAATGTGTTGGAGCCAGCTGGCTAACCTTCAAGCACATTAACAGTTAGGTGATGCCAAAGGATTGGAAAGTGACCTAAAGTAAGAGGAGATGTGGCAGTATTCCAAATGGCAGAGATGTATCTACCATCTTGAAGGCCCACAACAAGTTAGACTAGCACATTTTTGAAAGTTCAAAGAGCAGGAATTTACAAGGGTGTGGTGCACCAGGCCCAGCACTGACAGCTGGTGAAGGAAGGGATTGTCCCACTCTTCTCCTCATCTCAAGCACCACATGCTTGTTTGGTCATCACAATATAAGGATGTAAAACAATTAGAGAGCATCCAAAGGAGCTTTGTGAAGATAGTGAAGGGTCTGCAGGGCAAGATATATGAGGAGCAACTGAGGTCCTGTGGTTTGTTCAGTGCAGAGTGAGGAGAGGCCTCATGGCATGAAGCTCCCCACAGGGAGCAGAGGGCAGTTCTGAGCTCTGCTCTGTGACAGCAACAGGGCCCAAGGGAACAGCATGGAGCTGTGTCAGGGGAGGAGCAGCTGAGGGTTAGGGAAAGGGTGTGCACCAAGGGGGCTGTGGGCATGGCCCCAAACCTGATGGAGTTCAGTGAGCATTTGGACATCGCTTAGAGTACTTTAAGTGAAATGGAGTCGTTCCTCATGAGAGATTAACTTTGGGACTTACTTTTCCTCTCCAGCCTTGTATTAAGGCTTCTCTCAGACCTGTATAGAAGAATGAGAAAGTCAAAAGGTCTTAATTTTAAGTCATACTGATTATTATGGGCTATCACATACGTGAAGTAAGATAAACACTTAAAACACCCAAACTTGACAGCACAATAGACAAATGTACGTTAAAGCATGTAGCAGGCACGTCCAACCTGCTGTCCTGGGCTGGAATCAGGGCATGGGGTGCAGCCAGCTCACATTATGGCAGATATGTTTATGGATTTTGATACACTGGCTGAACACAGTCCTGTGAACCTCAAAAAATATGCAGCTGTGCTTTCCATTTTGATACAGGAATTTGAGAAGAGGTTTCAAGATTGCAAAAAAAAATTATATATATATCAATTTTTTTTTTATTTGTGAGTCCATTTTCAGTCAATATAAATATATTCCATTTGAAAATTCCCAAGTAATGTATAGAGTTGCAATAAAAAATTTGATCATGTCACTTTACCAGACTTTTATAAGCCCTCTCTTACAAGAGGGAGATACCCCTTGCTTCAGTCATGCCTTCCTCATGCCATTGCTTTTAGGCTGGATGTACATTTGTGAACAACTGAAGGATGAAACACAGCTCTGATGAACACCTTGAGAGCTCACTAAGAATTGCAACCACTGCTATCAAACCAGACTGACGCATTAGTTTCACAAAAACAAGGTCACATATCTCATTAGTTTTATAGTTTTGTAGCTCTCTTTTTTGTATGTTTTAATAAAAAGCATTGAACAATTAAGCTTTGTTACTTTATATATATTAAATATATATTCTATGAGGACTGCTCGGAAAATAATGCCTTCTATTTTATTACACTGTCCCATGACATCAGAGGCAGACATTGGAGGGATGGCAGTAGAGGCTGAAGCTTCCCACCAGTATTCTGTAACATGCTGCTGCGTGACAGATGGCAGCAGAGGGGCAGTCTGACCAAATGGCCTCTGGCTTCATGCACATTTCCAGGTCAATGTGTGTAACTGTATTCCTCCATGTGGAAAAAATGGCACTCATTGACACTAGTTGAATGTTGATGCAAACAGTGGATGCTGGCACAGTGAAGTGATGGATGGTGTGTTTCAGCAGTGGTTGTAATGGATCAACTCTACTGGTGCAGATTTTTATGACTGCAGCATGCAGGGTAAAGTTGCACAGCTAATGGTGGTGATTATATTGAAAAATAGCATTCTGTAGCTGAGAATTTGTTCTCTCAAACTGCTATAGTGCTCTTTGTATTGGTTCTCTTTTTCATGGAGTTAAATAGGAGGCATTACCTTTGGAACAACCAACATATATCTGGGCCATGACAATTCCCTCTTCACTCAGTGCAGCCCAGGCAAGCAAAAGGTTGGACATCCATGGCATATAGGGATCTTTAGACCAAGAATGCTTTTAAAGTTATCTGTCTTTCTAGATGCAACAGAATTGTAATATGCTATCGCTTATCTGAAATTAAATAGGAACTTACGTTTAGCACTTCTTGTTCACAAGTGACAAACAGAAATGCATTCTATACGTATCACTCTACAAAGATCTTTACAAAAACATATTTGTCAGTCCAATTTGGGCAATGACTTTACATACTCGTTTGAAAATGAGAAGCTAGATGTTGAAGCTGAATTTCCAGAAGTCGGGATTTGTCAGTCAGGGCAGGGTGTGGTAGCCAAACACTCCTCTTTCATATATTGTGACTGCTCTGGCTTAGATATCTTGGGATATCTAAGAATCTCATTCGATCTGTATAGCTAAAGCAGCACCAACCACTGTGGATGCCTTTTGTGTATTTTTGAAGAGCTTACATGAAGACAATTCCTAACGCTCATTATTATTAATGCCACATAAAAATTCCCACATTTGTAGTCCGTTCGTAATTAAGAATGAGAGAGCTTAAAGCCTGTTTAATTAAACATAACATACCTTGCCATTCCTGTCTTATTTTAAGGGGAAAAACATAACAGAAAAAGAATCAGAGTGCCTTCATTCCTTACATCATTAGGATTGCAATGTATTTTCTGTTTTGCATATTTCTCCATCTTCTTTTGGAAAAATGAACATCTTGCCTGGCTCATTTTGAGCTTTTTCTCTTTTTTTTTTTTTTCCTCCTTCCCCCTTCCCCCCCCCAAAGATACTACAGACAAAGATTATGAAAAGATTATAAAATGCACTCTTTTTAATTTTTCAATGAAGTGTCGTTTCTACATCAACATATCTAAATTCAGATCATACTTATGTGACAAAGTGTTTTTGTAATTATTTCATAAAATCGTAATATTTTAAAGTCTTGTATGTGCCTAACACTGGCTGGTGGGGGATGTCAGTTCCTCAATGTACTGTGCATAGGAGGAGTTTGGAACTCATACTGACCTCATTGCAAAGTTGGGGCTTTCCTTGATATAGCAGGAGAAAGGGAGTCAGGAATAAGCTGTCATACATTAAAGCAAAGCAGATTCAGTTCCACACAGCCAAAAAATACTGAAGGTGAATTGAGCCATTAGCACATTTCTTGTGATAATAATCATTATGGTTCTATTCAAATAAATTTGATTTTTAGACATCAGCCATGATGATCACCTTGATTCAGGAAACCAAGTGTCTGCTAGGAATTGCTTGCTTATAGTTTTGCCAGAAATCTTTAAGTCTTAACTACAAAACTTTAAAGTCAGTGTAGTGCCTACTGAAAGACTTCTGTTTTATAACTTTTGCTGGAAGAACACTAAGTGAAAAAGGTTTACATCAGCTCAGACGGAACACGTTTGTTTGTTTTTTCCAAGAAGTAATTACAGAGTCTGAGATCTGACAGAATCAAAGCACAGTTTTGTAAAGATTCACTTCCTAGAATCACAGCTATAAATAGGATTACTAAATGACTACTATCCATGGGCTAAGACTCTTCTTTTAGGTTTGAATAAAACCACAATATAACTTGTCTGCTCTCATTACACCCCAGTCACATTCAGTTCATTCATAAAGTGATGATTTGGCCTCCAGAACAGGGAATGCTGCCATTTTTGGTCACATCCTTGTGTGACATGGCACTTACACTATCTATAGTACCAGATAATTTTTAGTTGCTTCTGAAATGTTTCTCTTACTTAATAGTTTTCATGGGGAATTCTTCTATCTGAATGATCACATCCCACATTTGGTCCCCTCAGAATGCATACATGTGGCATGGGGCAAACAAAAAAAAAGGGTTTTGGCTGTGATTTTTCCCCTCTTACTGATTTGTACAAGTAACCTCACAAGGTAAGTCAAGATGCAAAACCTAGCTGAAGCCTACCTTCATTCTCTTGCACCCTCAACAGCAGTAGGAAAAAAACACTGCTTCTCTTCCAAAGCCATACAAAGGCAAGGCAGCATCTCCAGCAGGCTGTGTTTGGCCCAAGCGTTCTGCAGACTTCTTGCAACCTGAGCTTGCTGGCTCAGACCTCAGCCTGAAGCAGAGCAGCAGAGGTGCAGAGCACATTCCTTTCTGCTAGCACAGTATTGAGAAAAACAGTTTCGTAACAGCCAGCCAGGGCAGCCAGAGCTTGGCTGAGAGCTCGGACTTTCTTTTTAAAATGGAAATTAAAAACCAATATCTGGGACTATGTAGGGGGGTATGAGCATGAATAGTGAATCATAAGCTTGTTCTTTTAATTACTATTGCATACTTAGAACCTATTCATTGCTTCGTGAACCTCAAAGGACCAAATGAAATTGTGATACAGTTTCAGCCCATGCAAACTTATTTACAGGAAGATGGTCAAAGCATCATTTAAAAGGAAAAGAAAGGAATATAACTAGAACTGTTTCTTTCAGGTAGAAACTGAAAGCAATCTTAAACATACCAGGTGCAGAGCAGAATACCGTAACCATGAATGACATTGCACAGAAAACTGAGGTATGTACCAATTTTAAAGTAGTTGATGTAATATAGGAATTTATAACTGATGCTTGTTAACAGGGCAGTTAAAAACAATTGTAAAATACAATTATACTGCAAGTCTGGCTATTATTGATTTTACTTTAAGACAATCGAAGCATACTTGAGAGTAGTTTAAGGAAGATCAACTGATTTGATGAAATGTGGGAAATGTTCTTATTAAAAATGAATGAACAATGCAAAACTAAGTTAACAAAATATGAAGAAACTTCATGTTGGTAGAAATTCAGGCTACTTAAAATATTTCTTCTTGTGCCATGATACCATGAGTGGCAGGAACAAAAGCAAAACATCATTACAGTATCTGCTGTTGGTTTAGGTGGAAAATATGAAACAAACTTTCTTTCAGCCAGTTTTCTCAGCATAACTGTATTGACAACATTTCAGCAGTCACTGCAGTAAAAAGATGGAAAACGTAATACTGCAAAGTAGGCACTTCTCTTACTTAAGTATTGGCAAAGATGTGTTCATTACCTTTATCAGTATCAGATTCCTGCAAGCCGGGATCTTGACCCTTTACACCATAAAATCACTGGATGATTTTCTCTGAATATTAAGAAAAGAAATAAGTATATAATATATTGGAAGTTTTAAATGAACTAGTAGTACCATTTACAGATGTGGAAGAGTTGCAGAACACAGACGTGTTCTACTACACGTCTGCCTATTTACATTTATTTTAAATGCAGCGTTAGGGGTGTAGGACCTCTTTGAGTGTTTATGATTTCAATGCAACAATAGAAATCTATATATAATATTTAGGCCCATAGAAATAAAATAAAATAAAAAAAAGTGTGCATTTGTATTGCTCATATACTTAGTAATGTGGCACTCATCAGTTTTTAAGTTTAATACAATGCCAAAACTTGTTTAGGATATTTCTGTATTTATTACTGTTTAGTTATGAACAAATACTTAATAGATGATGGCTAGTGGCACAAAGTTCATAATCCCAAATGTACTTTTATGTTCTTACATTCTTTCTAATCCAGTCTGCTTCTGTTCATCTGTTTCAACTTTCTTTTTCTTATCTTCATTTCTTCTATATCTTCATCAAGATTCTGCTTTCTTCATCTAAACCCGTCCAAAAGTCCTATGTGCCCAAGCTTCACAAGGGTGATGTAAAGGATAAATTTGAAGCTATGCAGAAAGCAAGGGAAGAAAGAAATCAAAGGAGATCTAGAGATGAAAAGCAAAGAAGAAAAGAACAATATGTTAGAGAGAGAGAATGGAACAGGAGAAAGCAGGAGGTTACTTTTCTTTGCAAATATTTTATGTTATTTTAATATTCAGTATTGCACGTGAAAGTATTTTCATGTTATTTTAAGACAATATTATTGGAATTTTATTTAAGGTGTAAAAACTGTTTACTTTTCCTGTATTTCGTCAACCAGATGAAAGAACTGCTTGCATCTGATGAAGATGATGATGCAAAGTCATCTAAGACAGACAAAGGTTATGTTCCAAAGCTAATAGGTAAGAGAGGCCAAAGTTTAAAGGCCACATAACCCACTAGATAGGTATTAGATCTCATTACTGAATTGTGTGTTTCATATCACAGGAACTGTTAAAGGCAAGTTTGCAGAAATGGAGAAGCAAAGACAAGAAGAAGAAAGGAAAAGAACAGAAGAAGAAAGAAAGCGCAGAATTGAGCAGGATATGATTGAGAAAAGGAAAATTCAAAGAGAATTAGCCAAAAAAGCACAGGAGGTATGGTGATCTGATCAAAATAAGGTATAATTGTAAACAAATCAGAAAAAGTTTTGTATTCAGCAAAAGTATTTGGCTTTAAGATTTCTGATAGTAAGTGGTTTACATGGGAGATACTGAATAGGATGGAACTTGGGAAGAAAGTGAAGATAAATATTCTCTAAATAATTTTTAGGGTAATCATTTTTTTAAGCTTGAGTTACAGACAAAAGCAGGCAGACAAAAAATTGGTAAGAGTAGAAACCAGGCACAAGCTGGGGTTTGTAAGCGTTTATAGTATTTACTAAATTAATCTGAAATACTGCTTTTATTTACGAACCTTTACTTTAGGCAATTTTTGCTCATAAATTAGTGAGTGCAGTTCAGTGATAGAGTAATTGAGGCAAGGAAGAAGTAGGAAAATGACCTCATCAGGCAAATATATGAAGGTACAAATAAACTAAAAATCATGATAATTGAAGTCATGTTTTATTCCTTTGTCACTGTCTGAGCTGTTACTGCATCAGTATGTAAATAGACTCTAACTGTGCCAATAGAGAAAATCTTGTCTGGGGCATCTTGTCTTGCACTGGGGCATCATATTAAATTCCATTTGTAAGTTTTCTTCAGTGCTGCAAATACTACAGTGCAAGTAAACATTGAGATGACAGGCTAGGTCCATAAGATTTATTTATTTTACAAAAAGTTAGGAATATTTAATTTAGGTTGGGGTTTTTTTGTATGAAAAGTGGTTTGGCTTTTTGTAAGAGAAGAGAAACAGTACTGCAGGAGAACTCAGTTCTCAATAAGAACTTATATAGTCTTTTCTACTTTCAACATTGTTACATTTTCTGCTAAAAGTTTTATCCAGCAAATATTTAATTTACTTTGAAAGACAGAATTCTTTTAGAAAGAATATTAGTGTATAAAACTAACACTATTAAAACACCAAATACAACAGACTTTTTGCAGGCAGTTGAGGGGAAGACAATGTCACTAAGATCAGAAATACTTTTGCTTTCATGGTTTTTTTGTTTGTTTGTTTTTAAATACAATTATGGAATGCTCACATGAAGAATGAACACCTAAAGCACTTTTCTCGGTTCATCACTGAAGTGTTAAGAATGCTGAAGCATGCTTTGTGTACAGTGTCACATTTCCTGTTCCTCAACTTGCTAACCTATCCAAAATATTCCACCAAAGGTTCAGTCATTACCATCTCTGTGAATTTAAGTGCTACATACATATCACTGACACAAAAAAAAAAAAAAAGAAAAAGAAAAAAAAAATCCAGTTCTTTGTTTGAAAATCTAAGGCAAAGAGCCAAATTAATGTAATCCTATGAAATTCTTATTTAATAGATTGATGACTTTAACAATACGGGAACTGAATCAGCAGCAGAGGTAATCAGCTTTTTTTTAAAGAAATGTTCACCTACATTTTTATTCACTTTGCTTTATTATTGTAATATGGGCTGGGAGAAGTTCCAAAAGGGCACAAGTATTTCACTACAGATCAACCAAGGACCTAAGAATTTTTTAAAGCATGCAAAAGTGTTTATCTGCACTTAAAACTCAATTTATTTAAGTTTTAGAGTCTGAAGCATGAATAATATGTTGAAGGGTTCAGAACACCTCAAATACAAATATTCAAAGCCACCACAATGATTTGAGGCATACTGACAATGATACTCTAAATCCTCTGGCTTTGGAAAGTATCATCATAAAGCTCTTTGCCTTAAGCTTGTCATTAAAAGGGGGTTCTGTCAATATACTGATGTTTGAACAGTGGTCTCAACTTCTTGGTAATTTTTTTTCCCCTCAAATAAACACATTTAACATATGGGTTTCTATTTTAAATCTTGCAAACAAATATATAATTTCAAAAATCTAGACTTGAAGGTCCAATCATCTGTCACCAGTACAAAATCACATTCCTATTACAGTTAAAATAGAAAACAACACACCACCAAAACCTATTTCTTTTAAGTTATTTGAGTGTCCTTGTTATGGTATCTAATTAAAAAAAAATAATGGGTGAAGCATATTTTGGCAAATACTTTATGAAAATAATTTTGAAGCAGAGACATCCTTCTAAAGCAAATGAATGTGCTTGACAAAGAACAAACTTCTAGAACTACTACTTTATTCCAACCATCTCTTACATAGTAAGAAGTAGACTGCCACTACAATTTCTACACATTCAAAATTCCACCTGTTCTTATCTTATCCAAATAATGAATACTTATAAGAAATAGTTAATGAAACTATGTAAAGAAATGACACCTTGCCAGCAGTTATGTTTAAAGTATAATTCAGTCTTGATGCTTCCAGATATTACAAGAAAATTAGTGACTGTCAGAGGCAGATAGATTTATTCTTATTAATACTCAGTACAAGTAATTATTTTGGAACTTTTAGTGCACATGGGTAAAAAAAAAAACAGTTTAAGAATTAAGTTACCTAGAAGTCAAGCTTTATGAAAATATAATAAATATCTTTTTGGACAGGAAGGGGATGATTCGCTACTGGTTACGGTAGTGCCTGTAAAACCCAGCAAAATACCTGGGAAGATGAAAATAAACTTTGATAACACAGGAAAAGAAAGAGCAGAACCGGATGAAGAAATGAAGCTTAAATACGAGGAACAAAACCAATTCCTTAAGGAAACCAAGTGCCTTTCATTTCTCACGGTAAACCGCTCATCTAAAAATATCTAAGCAATACACGTGTATTATTTAAAAGATAACTATTTTCATTTTTCTTATACAGGGTGAAAATCAGGACAATGAAACACAAGCATCTCTGTCACCCGGTAAGCTGAAAGTAACTTTTGAAGAACTTGAAAGACAAAGACAGGAAAACCAAAGGCGGCAAGCAGAGGTAGAAGCAAAGCAGCGTTTAGAAGAGGAAAAACGTGCCTTTGAAGAAGCTAGACAGCAAATGGTAAGTACATGTTTTGTGCATGTTGCTACAGAATTTTGTTGATAGAGGATATGCCTTTACATCCACTCCTAAACCTGATTCTTATTGCTTAGCTTGATTTCAAGCGGAAAATTCTGTCACCACTAAGTTTTGAAATAGACGCTTCACATTTTGGTTCTAACTCAATAACCATATAGGCATAACTTTCTTATTTTAATAAAACAAGGACATTTTGTGTTTTAAATTTGTTGTCAATATTAATTGTCATATCTGCACTTTGTAGTACCTTAAGCTGTATATCCTCAAGAAGAAAATTTCTGTTTTGATCACGAAATTCATTTGTTTCGGTAACCAGTTTTTATGAAAACATTCTGTAATAGAAAAATGCTACTTCTTATTCCCACAATTATTTTATAAATACAATATATTATGGTTTTTTTAATTTGTTTTTATGAAGAAAAGGAAAGACAGGTTGGCTGTCTTGTAGATAGCAGTGTAAATAACAGTGTACTACAGATTACAAGATTCAACACCAAAATGTCACTCACAACTCCTGCTTTATATTACTTGCAAAACTATTTCCATTATCATAAGCCAGACTTATTTTAGTCTATAACTATAAACAGACCTCACTATAGTTTGTTCTTCAGTCACACTAAAGGAATCACGCACTTAGCACTAGCATAAGATACAGCAGATACTTCAGTACTGTATTTGCTATTTTGCTATACTCTATTTGCAAAAGCTTTATTTTGAAGTTCTCTAAGTAAATATCCTTCCTCTATACAATCTCAAACATTGTGACTTTGTTCATTCACATACAAAGAAGTTTAATGAGTCTTGTTTTTTCATATTTCATGAGAACTTTAAACATATTATTTCTAGGAATTTGCTAATTTTAACTTTAAAAGAACAGTGTAAACATAAATTACCATTCTCAAACAAACAAAATCATTATATTGACAATATTTCAAAACCAAATTGCTACGAGGGGAAAACAAAACAAACCAAAAACAAGCACAGCACAGAACCTCCAGAAAGCTGAACTTCTGAAATTCCCAATTGGTCCAAACTGGGAAGGTTTGAGGCTCAGGCAGATGCCAAAACTGAAGTTAATACACCCCTCATCCCACCTCTTGTCTTCCCTCTACCCTTGAAAAAAATCACCTAACCATTTCATAACAATAATCTTAGCATTATGTCAATAATACTCATTTTTGTTTTTCTTTTGGAGTAGGGATATAAGTGAAAGAGAAAAGAAAATGAAGGAGAGGGAAATTTGTGAAGTCACTGTAGCCATTCTAATTGAAGTTTTCTTCACATCTCCCACTCTAATATACCTACATTTATTAACCAAGTAAGATAAAAGTGTAACAATTTAATTTACAAATTCAAAAGTAAAACAAGTCACCCCTGTGGTCTTTTTCTACTATGCAGTTATAACTGGTATCAGTAGTGGTCAAAATTTTGAGTAAAAAGTTTCCTTAAAGGAAGAGTTCAGCAGTTCAGCTCCTTAGATTCTTTTTTTTTTTTTTCTCTTTTCCCTTATGAGTTCCAAATAAAAGACCTCTGTAATTCCCTCAGCTGTCTACCCAACATACCAGGCTTGCTTACAGTACTCAGATAGCTGGAGTATTAATACTCTTGACAGTTCCCAGTCAATTTCCACCATTAACAAATGAGGTACTCCATGATATGCTCTGAAGATGGTTCATTCATTTGTTCTTCACTGCAGTTTGCAAACAATAGGTTTCTCTTAGCAGAAAATGTTTACTGGAGATAAGAAATAATGAAATATCTCACTTCCCTTTCTTCAATGATGATTGAATGTCTAAAAAGAAAAGAAACACAAATGTCAGTCTAGATTAATTAAAGATGTTACTTTAGTTTTGCTATAAAACTACAGCCTTCTTTCAAACTGCTAAGTGCGTTGGTGATAACTCAGTGGTATGAAAGTCAATGGAAATGATGTGAAGAAAGTGAATAGGGAGTACTTGTTTACAGGAAACAATCCAACCCTGAAACTATGAAACAGATACTTAGTTGTTTATCCTTTTCCTGATAAGACATCCTGCTTCAAATTACACCTTGAAGTGATTTAAATAAATATAGAAGTTCAATATGGGATTCTGAAATATATTTCCTCTCTCTCTGCTGGTTAAAATGAAGTTTAAAAAGTTTCTTATAGGAACCAAATCATCAATATAGAATCATAGAATCCTTGGAGTTGGAAGGGGCCTCTGAAGGCCGTCTAGTCCAACTCCCCTGCAATGAACAGGGACACCACAGCTACATCAGTCTGCCCAGGGCCTGATCCAGCCTCACCTTGAAAATCTCTATTTTTTCTCCAGGAGAAAAAAGCAATTATAAAGAATCAGAAAGGAATTAATGGAGTATATATTTATTATTCAGAATGGATACACTTGAAAAAAAAAAAAAAACACAAAACAACAAAACAACTAAGCATTATATATATATATATTTCCCTCTCCATTTTCTCTAAAGATAAATGAAGGTGGCCATGAAGAATCTGAAAATTCTGGTAGAGAATTCCGTCCTGGTAAACTTAGGCTCAGTTTTGAGGAGATGGAAAGACTGAGGAGAGAAGAGGAAAAGAGGAGAGCAGAACAAGATGCAAGACGACGCATAGAAGAAGAGAAAAGGGCATTTGCTGAAGCACGGAAGAACATGGTATGATACTTTGTCAGTATTTAGTTTATTATTTTCCCTCAGTCTCCACAATGAAAGGGAAAAGTTTTAAATACAATCAGGTATATGCTTCAACTTCATTTATTTGTTTACCCTACAACATATTAGAAGGTAAACTAATCAAGGTTCTCCATAAAAAATTATCATGAAATTATCCTTCCTCACAACAAACCTAGAAAAGATCTCAAATGAAAAGATACTGTTTCCAACTGCTAATACTGTGCTAGGTGCAACAAACATGGAAAGCAAAGTATCTTCAGAAGGAAGTTTTTGGTTTTGGCTGGGTGCAAGGAAGAAATTCCTGTCTCTTTAGCTGCAGTTTTCCAAGTTAATCTCCCTACACTTCTTACTCACTTAAGTGTAATTAATGCCATACTAGAAGAATGCTCACTGCAAGTGCATATTCTGAGGTCATCTGTGGCCCGTGAGGAAGGAAAAAATGAAGAAGCTGAAGCCAGCTAATTGATGTTTTTATTGTATTTCATTACTTGTTCGGAGAAACAGAAAAGGCAACTTGTGGAATTTACTGTTACGATTCTTTATACAGAACATTGATCTGGAACGGCTCCCTGTGATACGTGATGATAAAATTTGAATTAAGATTATATCAAAGATAAATTTTCAGGGAGCAAAGACTGACACAGTGACATTATTTGGAAGGAGAGACAGATGCCTAACATCAGAGAGCGGGAGCAGTAGTTTGTACACAAAATAGCATAGTCTTTCACTGCATATTCCAAGAAGTTCAAGTTTCAGCAGGCTTTTGGATATAAGCCAGCTACTTTTTGGTGGATGTTAGGAAATACAGTGTTAAATTAGTCTAATACCAACTAAAATGCAAGTATAGTATTCTTCAAAACAAAGAGCAAGACATACCACAAAAAGCTGGGGAATAACGCACATATCTGGCAATCTCTTCCTTCATTCCCCGGTGTGGCTCTACTGAAAGACCATCTGCATGCCTAATTCATTTTTTTTTTCTTCATAATTCAAAGTGATGCTTGTGAAGCAAATTTACACTTTGTATGGCTTTTAGTACTGTTAGCAGTGCTCCCTGTGGCTGAAAATTGGGCTGAAGACAAGACCTCTACTCTGAAAGATTACCCACAAAATTACAATGTAAATTTATACCTGATTTTGTACTGGAACGCAAATATTGAAAATAATGTTTATGGTCTGTCCACACCTCTGAAGTGGGAGCAAAGAACCTTAAGCCCCTGGAAAAGGAATGCTACTGGACTTCTGCTATTATAATCTTTATGAAAAGTGAGCAGATAATTCAAAGAAAGTAAAGCAAAGACACAAACAGCACACTGCCTTCTGTTTTTTACTGCTTTCTTCAGAATATTTTTTTTCTGCCTCTGTGTAACAAAAGCTTAAGCATTCCGGCAAGAAAAATCTCATTGATTAATCAAGGCTTAATCCATTTGATGCAGCACAGCCTGCAACTGTAACACCAGACTGTAAAGATGTTCACTAGTCTAAAAAATTAACTGAAGATCTTTTCAGCATATACGTGCTTGAAAAATTTTCTGTTAATTAGCATCCGGAAAGAGTAGTTTTCTTTACTTGGAATAGAAAATACAAGTGTTTTCCACACCTACACAATATAGCAGCAATGTACTGATGTGCTTTTTAGCATTTTAAGAACACATTAGTCATCTCATTCAGAATTACTAAAACCTCATGTTCATTTTTAAGTGTTTAAATTGTTGTTTTAGAACCTCTTCATGCTTTTAGTTCAATTTTGAAAAAATACACACAAACAGAAGTAGTAACACTGCTGCTGAAAACCACAAATCCTACCTCTATCTCCTTTTGCAAGGACCCCCCAATTTCACACTTTCTTCTGCTACATTTATACTTCCATGCCTCCCACTATCAACTTGATCCCTTTCAGACTCAAGCACTCATTTCTCTCTGCTGTCAGTCGCTTTCCATTAGTAACTATGTGAAGAACCTGTCTTAGTATGAACAAAAAGCTGTTCTATTTTGTATCAATCACTGTTTCCCCCCTGAAAATTGGCTGTCAGAGCTGCACACCACTGCTGTTACAGGACTGTTTCCCACAACTATCTGTACCCAGTTTGTAGAAATCAAACCATACCAAGCCACAGTCTCACACATAATATTTACCAAGCTAACCACAAGGGTTTTGTGTATCACACAATTCAACTGATATTATCCTTTCTCTTTTTTTCTCTTAAATCAGGAACAAGTTGGCTTACTATCCTTTCATTACTGGCTCAAAAATACAAACAGATGCAGTTGTTTGGTCATGTGCACTTCTTTTTTTTTTTTTTTTTTTTTTTTAAGTTCATACACAAATATGTTAATACATTTTGAATTAATGCTTCTCGCTTCATGAGCATACGAATTCATACATGATCAGAAAGAGACTTGCACAGCTCTTTATCGACTTAGCTGTAGCTAGCTCCTAAAAAATATGCAGCTCTGCATTGTTTTCACTGAAGGAAATAGTTTACAGCTTCATTTTTTTGACTCCACTTCTCCATGACACAATTTCTACAACTATGCTTGTATTATGCAAAACGAATGAAGAATGGAAGGAATGGTGGGGCTGAAATCCAACTGAAAGCTTACTCACAGGGAAAATTTGAAGGAAATCTATAGTGACTAAGAGTATTTGATTGAGCCAAAAAGAACAACAGCAAAAAACCACAAAACAATTATTGAAGGATCAAATAAAAACAGAAACAGGCAAAATAGGTCAGAACAGCAGTATGAACAAAGATGGCAAAAGCAGCAGTAAAAAGTGCAAATTATGACAGCAGTAAGCAGCAATAAAGGAAAAAGGGAAGTACTAAAGCATTTTAATGTGCATCTATGTATATATTTAATAAAGTTAAAACACTTTATCAAGTGAAAGCTTTGATCCACTAATCCCTTCTAGAATTTGGATGATGGCTCCTGTTAGGAATGTCCAGAATTTCAGGCAGACTGGGGCTCTACAGTGTTACCACAAGACTTTTCAAACATGCACTGACTCAATCATGCCAAAAGCTGTTATTTTTGTGCAGTTCTAGATCAGTATTTGACTTCATCTCACACCTTACAGACTGCTCTTGCTGAGAAAGGCTCTATCAATGTGACAGGTTTACACAGTTACACACACAAGTAGACTCACATAGGTTTTTACCTAGAATTTGTTTTCCTGTGCAACTCAGATGGCCATGCTATCACCCCTTTCATGCCCTGCTTTAACAAGTGCAGTTAGATCAAATACTTGTTTCTAGATTTCCTGCTTTTGGAAATAATTAAGAAATGCTTTTCTGGGGCCATACTATCCTTTTATAAATAGGTCAGAAAAAGAAGCCATCTCCTCATACAGACTGACCATTAATGCTCAGCCAGGCTGTGCAGCCCGAGAAAAGGACAGGGAAAGAAGGAAATACGACAATGAACTGACAACACGATTTAGTATATTCCATTTGTGCATAAGTTTCTCATAGAAAATTCTTCTCAATTATACATATTAGCAATGTGGGTATCAAAGAAATATAACACAGTTTGCCTAGAGGAAAGACTACAGATATTTCAGTGTTAAGGGCAATGCCATTTGGACAAATACTTATTTAAGGACACCCTGCAGCATCAACAGGAATTTACAGCTTTGAGTCCCAAAGCTGCTTTTAGACGACATACTCTCCCATCATCTTGTAGAAAAGACTGCATTTGTACAAACACCTTCATCTCCATTATAAAAAGTTTACTGTTGTAATAAGAAAGAACAAAACCCCTAAACACATTCCTTCTCAAAACATGACAGCAATACCTGTGCTGCTCTACTGCATCTTACTGCTCTGTGGCAGAACACTTGGATATTTCCTCCCAAGTACCTTCACCATTAACAATCTGAATTTCCAGCAGGTGCTGGATGATGATGAATCACCAGAAATGTTTAAAACATTTTCTCAAGAATCTCTCATCCCTGGTAAACTGGAAATCAATTTTGAGGAGATGCTGAGACAAAAGATGGAAGAAGAAAAGAGACGCACGGAAGAGGAGCGTAGGCAAAAGTTGGAAATGGAAAAGCAAGAATTCCAACAGTTAAGACAAGAAATGGGAGAGGTTTGTATATCAAAAGATGCGTAAAGCATGCCCTGAAGAAAAATACAATATTCAAAGTTCAGAGTTTATGATTTTAACTGGGAGTTCCTTTTTAAGGGATTTTAAAGTCAATACTTCCTGTACTATGTGAAAAGAATGAAAATCAAAAATCTTTTTATAATGTTGCATTCATTTAATTACTAATCTACCTACTAAAAAACTTGTATCCCCTTGCTACTCTTAAAGTAAAAACGATTTCAAATTTGTCCTTTTAGCGTTTTACTTTAGTTACCTGCAAATTCTACTGTGTTAATAAATTGAATACGCTAGCTTTCCAATCCTAGGAAAATAGAAACACCTAGATTCAAAATTAAGAAATGAAAATGGAAAGAAAAAAAAAAAAAAGAGCAAAATTCCTGCCCTGTTCAGGGAAATGCTGTGTTAAATAATTTGGAGAGAATTACAGTGACCTCAAGTTGTTTCTAGTGAGTGTATCAAGGATTTGAAGGCTGTCACAGCTGATTTTAAGAATCACACACAGAATTCGCCTTGCATACCAGATGACTAGAACATCACATTCACGAAGCATACACCAATTTGATTTGGTTGTGGGTGGTAATTTTCAGAATATGATTCCCTTTTGAATATTAGAGAATGACTTTTTTCTTTTTGTAAGCAAAGCTAGAGCGAGTAATAAAGGCTGCAGCTTGTGGGCTTTGCAAGTACATTTTGCATGCTGGGGAAGAAGACAGACAAGTGAAATGTATTCTCTTACTGCCATCAGAGGCCATGAAGTGATAGAGCAGAATATAAACAATTACAGCAGCAGACATAGTTTGACTACAGTATCCAGAAATGTCACTTCTTTTCCAGCTGTGGCATTCTGAAATCTCATTTGTGTTTTTTTTTCTGTAAAACCAGAGAAAAGGTATTTTAAAATTAAAGCTTAAAGATGCTATACACTCAGTAGAATCCAGATCACACTGAGAGAAAAGCTATTGGAGGGAAAAGGTCTTCAACTTGAAATAAATCCAAGCTAAAAGAATTGTTCAAGTACTTAAAGCTACACCAATCTGTGGGGAGAAGAGGTAGTGAAAATAACCAGGATATATTTTCTGTCTTATCTGTTCTGTTATTTCTAAACAGCTGGAAGAGGAGTCTGAAACTTTTGAGCTAAGCAAAGAATATGAAGAATTAATAAAGCTAAAAAGAAGTGGTTCTATTCAAGCGAAGAATCTGAAAAGCAAGTTTGAGAAAATAGGACAATTATCTCAAGAAGAAATACAGAAGAAGATTGAAGAAGAACGAGCCAAAAGAAGAGCAATGGATGAAGAAATAAGAGAAAGGGAAGCTGAGAAGTTTCAAGAGGTAATTTGTGTTCTGGATGGTAATGATTTACTTAACTAGCACAACTGATAGTATTGGGCAGTACTAATGCTTTCACCAAAATTTGCTGTATTCCCAACATGATTCTGTCCTTACTTCTCTGTTCCCTTCTTTGGATGTATGATTGTGGCATCTCTAAGAGAAACTGCACCAGTTTATCATCAATCTTTTGCACTCAAGCACAGATCTGTTTTTCTGCTCATACTTCAATTCAGTGCTTTAACAACCTGCTGACCTGAGGTGCTGAAACATGCTGATTTTTGAGTCTGTTCTATTAATGGTCATGCAAGTTGCTGCTCCTTCTGAACTCTAATTCATTCTCTACTACATAAATTAAAGCCCCACACTGAGGCTTTAATATCTGCAATCATTCACTTCAGTATCAGTTCAGAACTTTTTATTTTTAAACTTTTCATTTAACGAGTGACACTAACATTTCTATAAGGTCAACAACCTGCTTAAGTGTTGAAGCCAGAACACCATGACATGAAAGTTAAGTGACTAAGCACTTATCATTGCCCCAAGAGGGTATGCAACTTACACAGCAAAGTAAAATCTTTAGAAAATATTTTTTTTCACTTGAAATTACTTTTGCAAATATTTTGTATTTCTATCTCTAATCTTCTCCCTTCCCTCATTTACTCTACAGTAATTTTCTGTGATAATTAAGCTGTTTATTTTCCAAACAATGGAGCACATGCCCAGCTAAAAAACAGCCCACAGAGTAGACAATTTAATTGGGAAGGCCTGCTTTTCAAGGCTGCAAATAAAAAGGCCAATAGCACAAATAAAAAAAGAACTTGTACAACAAATCAGCAGTGACTTCTAAGATACCAGCTATGTGCAATGCGAAGAAAGGTTCCATATCTCTAGTATGTGACAGTAAGAGCAAGCAAGTATTCCAGTTATCATTTCTACACTTCACAGATTCTTAAGAAAATAGGATTTTTCCTTGGAAAGGAAGATGGAGAATTACAGGATAGGCCCAATAGAATTTACTCCCCTCATCTGAGGTGAAAAAAATTAAATTCTCTGTAAAATTAGCCGTAGGGAAAACAAACCAAAAATCAACTAAAATGCACCCAATAAATAAATAAATAAACAAACAAACAAGCAAAAACCCACAAACAAACAAAAAAACCCAAGCACAGGCAGTTGCAAAAATGTCCGAGTATTCTTTTTGAGGAAAGAAACCTAATAAAAATCACTGTCTCTTCTCAAAACAAGAAAGGACACGTACTTAGTAGGGCCACAAAGCACATTTACATTTACAGTGTAAAAATGTATATCCTAAGACTGCAGTAACAATTCACTTTAATGCTTTACAACTGTCCTTAAAGAACCAGTAAATATATTTTTCAAAAACTGCATTTTTCTTTTCCTTACCTTAGCTTAATAGTTTATCATCTCTAATCCAGAGCTACAGCTGTAGCCAAAGTTGTTTCTACTGTGTTACTACAACATACTGCTAATAAAGTACCATCAAGTGGGACATCATAGGAAACATCTGAATTCATAGTAGACTCCTACCTGTACAATACAGTGTTTCTTGAATCCACACCTTGCAGACTCAGTAAACAAATTTTTTTTAGAAAAACTTCTAATTGAAATATTAGGTTCATTAAATGAAATATTTTTGGTACTTTTCAGGGGGGAAAAAACCCATCTCAGATCCTGAGAAATTATTAAGAGATTTCATTTTAAATCCAACATTAACAAATCTGTGGGGAGAAAAATAACCAAGAGGACTCAGGGTGGCTTTGCAGTTAAAAATTACTGATGTATTAAACTAGTACTATTGCTGTGAACAATTAAAAAGTAAAACATGAGTAATGTTCTATTTTTTTTTCCATAGGATGATGAGGTAGATGTGAGACCAGCCAAGAAATCTGAGGCTCCATTTACTCATAAAGTAAATATGAAGGCACGTTTTGAGCAAATGGCAAGGGCTAGGGAAGAAGAAGAACAGAGGAGAATTGAAGAACAAAAATTACTCCGCATGCAGTTTGAACAAAAAGAAATTGATGCTGCATTACAGAAGGTAGAGATTACAAAGTACCTTTTCTTCAGTCCTCAATGTCATTTAACTTGGCTTCTCATTACCACTTCTGGCATTGTTGCCATCAGTATAAAAGGAGCATTATACTTATATAAATTACTGCATTTGTGTAATTGCTTTTGAGTTAATATTTTGAAGAGCATGATAAATAGATTGGAAGGAACCTGCAGTTTCCTTTGAATATTCTGAAAATGGAATCACTATTCATGCCTATACTTTCCCCTAAGACACCAACCATACCAGCTTCATTAAACAAAGTTTAGATAGCATTTACTGCTTGTTCCACATTCAGAACATTGTTTTCTAGTATGGATAGGCATCTCCCCTTCTTAAACGAACAGCTTTTCTCTAATCAACTACATGTTACTAGCAGTCATGCTGCTATTGCTACTCTGAAAATTCTAAACTGGATTATTTTAAAACAGAAAAGAGAAGAAGATGATGATGATGAAGGAAGCGTTATTAATGGTTCTACTTGTGAAGATGAGGAAGATCAAGCTCGATCTGGAGCTCCCTGGTTCAAGAAGTCACTGAAAAACACATCGGTTGTTGATGGTGAGCCAGTGAGATTTACAGTTAAAATTACTGGAGAACCAAAACCTCAAGTCACATGGTGGTTTGAGGGGGAAATGTTGCAAGACTCTGAGGACTATCAATATATCGAAAGAGGAGAAACCTATTGCCTTTATTTGCCCGAAACCTTCCCAGAAGATGAAGGTGAATATATGTGTAAAGCAGTCAACAACAGAGGCACATCTGCTAGCACCTGCATTCTCACCATTGAAAGTAAGAGTTAGTATTTTAATTTGCTTAAATCTCAAATGCTCTTCTTGTATCTTTCCTATTATGAAAAATCTATTAATCTCTCTCTTAACCTTTTTATTTTCTAGCTGATGACTACTAATGCTCTACTTTAGCTGGAATCTTTCTTCCCCTCAAAACTTTCTTACTGCATCATCTCTTTTTTCTGATGGGGCCAACTAAAGAAAGCAAGGATATGCATTGTCATTCCTGCATCAGATATGAATAACCTTCAAGTTGTGTGTCCAGGTTCCTTGCTCAGTACAGAATTTAGTATTGCAGGCTAAAAAGAAAGAATCAATGTGTGAAAGATCAATTAAAAGGAAAAACTGAATGATAGTAGCGCTCCCTTATTTGAAGACCAACTGTTGTGTAATGGTATAAAGCTAAATACACAATCTGGAAACTTTTGTAGTAGTGTAAATCTACTGGTATAGTTTTGCATGAGCACTAAATATTTAAGCTGTCTTACTTTATCCCAGAGGCATAGAACTGGCAAAAGGAAATACTTATCAATTTTTCAAGAATTCAGTGTATTATTTTTAAACAATAAAAGATAACATAACTGCTCACTGTCATTGTTCTGTGGTTTAAGAGAATTAGTTTGGTGGTCGTGTTTTTTTAAATAGATTTGCATTTGAACTTTTAAGCTCTTATCAACCCATGCAGTTGGTAATCCAAATAGTAAAAATAATCTCAGTAAGGCTTGTAGTTATCATTACAACATCAACATTTGCTTGTAAAAAATTCTACTTTTTCATTTCTTAAAAGACAGAGAATCAGCTGGCAACGAGATATGAGCCAACAGTTAAGTTGATAGGAAGGAAACAAATATTTTCAGGATGTACATCATTTTTCAATGTATCAGAAAATTTCATTTTCTTTTGATGCAATGAATTTACTGCTGCATCTCTGTAAACGACACCTGCTTGAGGTGTAGTTTATTTTTCAGTAAGACCTCTTTGGTATCACTGCTAAAGTCACTGTGCTAAACCCATCTGAATTTTTTAGCATAAGCTTCTTTTAGAGTTATTTTACAAATAAGCCACATTTTCAACTGAAGAGTACATGCAGAGCCTTAGCACAAGACATGATAAGCTAGAGTAGTTTAAGTTTATGGAATCATTTTAAAATTATTAAGAAATTTTACTATGGTAAACATGCTGACTGCCATTAGTATAGTTACCTATGGAAGTCACTCTTTTGCCTCAATAAAATAGTTGTAAAATTCAGAGAAATCTTGAAAAACATTGTAAGTTGCATGATGTTTTCAGTGAGTATTTTAATAGCCATATAAATAGACTTTCATGTGGGTGATGTTCATTCACATGAGTTCTTTGTTGCGGTATCTTTCCTCTAGAGCTGTGATTTCAAACTAACGAAGTCAGGGTAGGAGCATAAGAAAGACAAAAACATTGCTATTATTATCCATCAGTTTACATTTATTGAGAAAAACCATACAAAAAACATTATACAGTTAACGTGTACCCATATTACATACAATGTCAATGCAAGCTCAAAACCACATTTTTGTAAAGCATTCAATTTACCTCAAGTCCAAGCTGCATCTCCCTAAGACACTGTTTCCATCACAGTTGCCTTTTAAAGCCAATCTTCTTTTTACACACGGGTAGTTTCTGCAGAGAACACTTTTCTCAGGACGAAAATGCATTTCACATGCACGCAAGAGAAATATTTGTGCATACATACGAGTTTTATGAGCTATTACTAGGGAAGAAGGAATCCTGTCAACTGCAGGCTTTCTGAAAGGCCCGGTCCTCCCTTCCTCCCCCCACTTTCAGACAAAAGCAAAATAGAAGCTCTTAGCATGCAATGGAAAACTTAAAATTACTTTGGAAGAGAACAGGGGAGAAACATTTTCTGTCATCTGATACAATAAAATACTACTGGTAAAACGATGAAAAATGTTAAGATAGGCTGTGCAAGTGAATAACGATCCTGTCTGCCTGCTCAACTTGAACAAAATAGATGACCTGTGATCATGCTAGACTGAAGATTATCCACCTGACATTTTATTTCATGTCCTACTACAGTCTAGGCTGTAGAAAGGTATATGAAAATCTTTCCCCTACCTCAAACATGCTTCCCTTACAGAACTTTCATATTCTTTAAACTCTACCTAATTTGTTAGGACTTCAAGGGCAAGGAAAAAAAAAAGAACCATATAAACACGGCTTATGGACAAGTTCATTACATTTTTAAGTCTAGTTATCTTCTGCCAGAGTAACTCCAATAATGTTGGTTTTGTTTTTTTTTCCCCTTTTTTAAAATTCTCCTAAGAACTGCGAATTTGGAGAGTTGAAAAATAACCACTACATTTAGTAGAAAACAGCATGCCTGTAAGCTCTGCAGTGACAGTCAATACACCTCAAGTGCTATACGCTGAGGTAAGAAACTTATCTTCCACACCCCAGCAACATTCCAATAAACTGGCTTTCTTCCTTACTTCCTCCCACTGGCTAAACTTACCAATTGAAATATTGTTAATAATATTTTAGGAATGACAGTTATAAGAAAAAAGTACCACATAAAAGGAAGTGAAGAAATGACTCACCCCAACACTAAATTCACAGTATCAAAATCCAAATGGTACACACCTAACTTTTTCTTGTGTCAAAACTGAAGTCAAATTACATATTACACTACAGATAATCAAATATTAAGTAGCTTGAGAAACTAAACGACAACTATTGATTCAGTTCAAAAAGTCAAGATATCTAAGCTTGACCATATAGAAGAATATAAATTAAAATTGCTTGTTTAATATTATTAAATCACAGTTTAAAAAAAAACAGATCATGGAACATTTATGGTCAAACAAATAATACTTTAAAGAATGAAAAGTGATCAAAACAAAAATCATACCCTACACCATGGGATACATTTCAAATCTGTTATGCTTTTGCCAATTTTACCTTCTACATGGAGCCCTTCTACGGTCCATGCTCATCGGCTCACCAATGGCATACACTCAAAGGATTCCTCTTTACTGGTAGTAACTATCTCAGGACCTGATTCTATGAGCTATGATTTGGTGCTTGCAGCATCTTCAGCACTGTGTGTGAAAATGAAGGCAGTATTTTTGAATATTTTTCTTGAATGTACAGATAAGCAGGACTTTTGAAAGAGGAGCAGCACATTTCAGAAACAGAATAATCAACAACAAAAAAACAAACAGATGCTGCTTTATATTAAGCTAAAAAAAAAAAAAGAAAAACCTGTACCAGACCATCTATAAGACATACAAACATTTTAAACTATCAAAATATACAGCAATTCAGTTAAAGTATCAAGAAACAAGATACACTGACTGATATATGGATAAAATATTATTTGCTGTATAGTTAACATTTAATTGGTGCACATGCTTTTCCAAGTAAAACATACTAATCTGTGAAACTCCAGATTCTATTTTCCTACTATGTCAAGTATGAATTAGCAAACTAAGTTATCTAAAAATGCCACTAACACACTGCAACTGTAAGACAAGTCATCAAGTTCAGCGGCAACAAAAAGTTATATTCTTTGTATTTACGTCTTATGGGTTGAGTGAGAACAGTGCCCTACTATAAAAAACATTTGTGAAGGCTGTTGACATTTCTATCACAAGTTATTCCTGCATATTGTAAAGATTTTGATTCTTTAATTGCAACAAGTAGCTATTTGAGGAAAAAGAACAAAAATGACTACTTATTCTGCTTGACTTCAATTACTGCAATCTACTCATCTTTTCTTAAAAAAAAAAAAAAGATACATATTTACCTAGAAATATAAACAGTTGTTTAAAAACTTAAAGACTTTCCACTGAAATGGAACCGTGAGTAACAATGCATTTGGGTAAGCAGAAGATTGCTTTTCAATACACAACCACAAAGATCTCACAGGGACAACATTAATGTACTGAAATATTTAAATTTATATACTTCCTTAGGTTGTGCTTACCTGTTGCTTTTTTGCAGCAGAACCTAAGGTGGAAGGTCTGGGAAGGCACTGTGAAGTATAAATAATTGCACTGTTTGCAATTAATAAAGATTTTATACCTTAAATGAATCAAAATCAACAGCCTCCATTTTGTGAATGATAAAGAATCCAGTGAATTCAATTTTGCTCAGTTCAGTACATAACAAATGCACCATTCTTTATCTACAAAATACCATGCAAAATATCTGAACTATTATACTTCATACCCTACACTAAAGATAGCAAATACCCTCCTATCCTTTATAAGGTACCAGAATAATTCCTAATTGTTAAAGGGAAAAAAATAATTCCTTCCATTTCTACAGCACAGTACATATATTGCTAATTACCTGAATAAACTACTTTAAATTTCAAGCCTCAACTTTTACTTCTCTGTGCAGCCACCCTAAAAAAAAATTATTCTCAAAGCAACAATACGTCGTTCCAAGAAGATAAAGTAACAGTTATAGAATTAAAACATACCTACATCACTACATATCTGCAAACTATCTGACGACAAAAACAACTTCTGTCTATCAAGTGGTTCCAAAAACTTCAATGTTACGATATGCATACTTTAATACACTGAATGATACAGCTGTCTCAACTAAAGAAAATACTATTACTCAGATAAACAGCAACATAATTCTTTTTTTTTTTTGCTATTGCTATACCATTCAGGAATACTTACCCACAAAGCTCACATTATGTGTATGTAATATGTATATACGCAAACCTATGTTTCTGAATTAAGAAGCAATTACGATTTCCTAAGATATCAGCACTGTATTCCAACATAATATTCACACAAGTATGGCATTTTCATTATGTGGAACATTGACAAAAAGATACTGTTGCAGTTCATCAATTTGTCATTCTGATGTACTTACAGTGCAATGCTCCTTGAAGGAACAATCAAGGATGATACACAGCACAGTCCTCCTCACCCCTACAGAGCTAGTTCTATACTGGCTGGATCAAACCTGCACTTCAACAGACAATGGCAAGACAGACTGTATTGCATGTTCTCTAATATATGCAAAGAGCCAATAAATATGCAAAGAGCAAACAGGATTTCAAGAGAATCAGATTTTTAGTATGAGCATTAGAGCAATAAGAAATTTCAAGTATATTAAAAAAAATAAAAATCAATCGATTCAAGTACTTGAGTATTTACGAAAATAGAAGTTATCTGCTCTGCAGGAAGTTCTCAACCACTCCCCATCACTCAAACAAAACAGCGTTTCAAGGACAGATGCAATTTCTGTAACTACTATGCATACCACATTGACTTTTCTACACTGAAATTTGAACTGGACTACTTTTAACTGAAGGCTTAAGCACATTAGACTTAAAATAACTTTTATAACTAGCCTGAAAAAATCCTTAAATAGTTATGCAGGAACAGGTTTGAAGTATTCAATTAAAAACAAAAGTCATCTGTTGTAACAGCTGCACAGGTCTGAAACAGTGGTCACATGTAAAAGGAAATTTCACTGTTAATGCAATGGAAGTATGCCAAAAGATCACCTTAAACACATGCAGTTTTAATCAAATAGAAAGAAAATTAAGATATCAAGATTACTGTTGCTAGGCAGCAAAATACAATGAATGAAAGAGATCCTCCATCTACAACTATTCTGCGAGAGGGGAAAAACATGCTAATGACAACTGTTTAAACTCAACAAAGTTCCAAGGGGAAAAAAAATCTCATTTGTGTACAGGTACCTTGATTCAGCGTTGTAAGTCAATCCTATAATTCTTTAAATACCCACATATCCAACTTACCGACACAGGAGGTTTCATATCATTTATTGTAAAGCACAAAACAGGCATTTTAAAAGTGATAAAGAATACATTGAAAAAGTACATTTATATCACAAAGCATTGACCACATAATTGCAAATACATTTGCTGGAATGTGTACATCTACACTAATACTAAAAACAAACCATTTTTCATTTCTACACAGAAATATTACCTCCTATCAGTAGTGATAGATATTTTGTACATTTTCAAAAACACTATTTTTTTTTTTTTTTTTAAACCAAACAAAATTAAGATCTTCATCAAGGCGTCTGCATCCATACATTTAACAAAGGTATTTTCCCCCACACAATGAAGCAAATACTGTATTGTCCACTTCTTATTATTGGCCCTGTGCAGAAGAGATACATAAGAGATACACAACAAGTTAAAGAAAATCCTTTAAATCGAGCTAACTCAGGAGTGAAGCCTTTAAGAAAGAAAAATTGGTTAATGTAAATGGTGGTGGCTTCTTGCATGGTTTTCAAAACCCTGGGAGGAGAAAGTTTTTTTCTTTTTTTTTTTTTTAAATTAAAATCACCAAACACACAGATATATACAGAAATCAAGTTATCACGTAAACAACATCATCTATTACTTATTCTGATAATAGTTACTGTGCTAGAAAAAAAAAAGATGCATACTCCAAAGGTAGCAAAGCAGGAGACATGCAAAAAACCATCTATAACCAGTGAAACAGAAGCCAGCCAAAAAAACACACTGAAGCAAGTTTATACCTGTGGTGCTGGAGGATGTTGTGGCATTCCCTGGGGACTTGTCTGGGCATAATATGCTGCCTGCTGCCTGTAGTACTCAGCCCATGCTGCGCTGTAATCCGGCTGACCACCTGGCGGAGCTCCAGCAGGTGCAGGAACTGCTTGACCTACAAGTGATTCAAGTTATATAGCTTTGCTGCTACAACAGAAGCGAAACAATTTCAAAATCTCACTACTTAACAAACATCACTTCGCTTACACTTCTGAACAACCTTGTGGCTGCTCCTTCTTACCTTACCACTCATTCTATTATTTTAATGCAGAGATTTTCACTGAGGAACCATTAAGACAGGCTTTTCCAACTCTTAAACCACAGTCCAAAATATAAGGACTTATAACAACCAGTCTAAACTGGTCTGACCAACCAGTTTAAACCAAATACAAGCTAGCAGGAGAGAGAACTTTCTGTCACCTACCTAGACTGACTTTATCTCATACTGTATGGGCTGCAATACTTAATTTGTCAGAACCTCATTTGTTCATTCTCCCAATTTTGGTTTTCTCAGTGTGATTTCCGGATTTCTGCAAGTTATCTTTTTTTCAAAAGAGCATTAATTTTTGTAAACCTTTATTCCACAAGAGTATAGCCCTGAAACTTTTCAACCACTGCTCAAGGCACAAGTGATGTAAGTATACACAGACATGCAGCTAAGAACAATCAATCTTTCCAACAAAATCAAATAACTTTAAAACATTTTTATAAAGGTGATAAGACTAATACATTGACTCCTTCAAAAATGTTACTGCCAAACTCAAGTCCTAAGCCATACTACTATTTCAAGGAAGGTTTGTAGCAAACATATTTGCTTCCTTTCCCCTTATTTCAGAAAGAGCAAAACCACTCCAGTTATTACCACTATGTTCTTCACAGATTTTTTATCTCAAAAATTCTTTGCTCATCACCAGTGAAGAAGATACCTGACTATGAACACAACAACCTTCTCTATTCAACCACTGCTTGCACGCAGCCAGACAGAAGGGGTCCATATATATTTTCTTAAACTTCCGAAACAGAGCAATTCTTCCTACACTAATACACATTCTTAAGAGATCAGAATATTTCCATTTAGAAAAAAAAAGTCAGGACTGCATTACTACCACTGAAACACTACTACTGGAATATGACCCACATCCACTGCCCCAACCAAACCGTTACCAAATCAAACCTTATCCTACCACACTACATCAAACAAATCTAAGTAAAATGCAAGCTTCCATTCTTTACAATTTTAAGACAGTGCCCCTAATCTGATCTTCTGCTAACAAGGGGGAGCTTCCAAAGGATGAAGGCTGGGAATTTTCAATACTGTCCACATCAACTCACTTTTTACTCAACTACAAGACCACAGAGCAGTCTTCTGGGGAATACAAGTATCAAGGATTCTAATAAACTGCTTTCTACAATATCAGATAGAAAGATGTTTTTGTTTGTTTTTATCCTTTTGTTTTTAATCCCAAACTCCTCAGGAATAAAAAGTGTGAACAGAAAATATGAATATCTGACACTGTGCTATCTCAAATGCCTACAAATTACAGACTTCCATTCTCTAACCATACAGAATATGTAAGTTTTTCCACTTATGCTGTTGGTATCATTAAAAAAAAAAAAAAAAAAAAACCCTCCATTTTTTTTTTTAATTATACAGTAACACAAGTTTTCCTAGAAAAACTAACCTATATTTACTGAAAACTTTGAACTGGAACCACATGTTGCTGTTTACATTTATACCCTAACATAAATTACAATTTATGCTTCTGATCAACAAGTTTAACCAAAGCTATCTTGAAAATGTGGCTACAAACCATCCCAGGATACACTTCTTCCAAGTTTCCAAAGCAATATATGCATTAACTCCTACAATGACATACAGATCTTTTAGTGAAATGTGACTTCGTGTTTCTTGGGAACCATTATCCTTGGAAGATTTTTACTTATGTAGTTACATGTTTACTTGAACTCTAGCAGAGAGGAAGAAAAATAGTACATCTTCTGTTCAAGACAACAGCATCAATTTGCCCTTCAAGCATTAAACTGCCGTCCTGTTAACTTGAAGTTTAAAACAAGTTTTTAAATGTAAGACTTAGGGCACTAGGAGGCAGAAGGCTTGAGCCACCTACAAGACACACATACAGTAACTTACCGGTGTGCATAAGCAATTTCATTACCTCTTCAGTCTTACTTTTAATTGTATTTGCTACTCAAGCAATAGTTTCTGAGCAAAACAAGGGTCTGAAAAACAGGACGCACCTTGCCACTATGTTTGTGAGTTGGTAACATGTAACTTTCAAGCCACTGTTAGTACATGCTTAAAAATCACAGGCAAAACACATGTTCTCTGTGATTAGCTGTGTCCTATTAAACAAGTAGAAAGTCACTTAGTAAAACAGCATTCCAGTTTTCATTCCAATATTCAGAGCACTTTAGTTTTCAGGTCACTATATGAGAAAAATCCATAGCATTAGTTGCAGTATCACATGAAACTTGTTCAGCTTAGCACCACCATGGGTTTATCACTGGCTTATCAATGTAGTCTTCTCTAGTAGCAGAACTGAAATTATTTGGGCTCTGCACCCATGTTTCAGTTCTATTACCTGAAACAGCATATGTACAATTTTTTTTTTTTAACATCAACTATGTAATAATCTGTGCTGTGAGAAATCTGAAATGGAATCCAAGAATGACCCACAATTCTGAAAAGCAGAAGGCTTTTATGATTTGCAAACTCAGGCAAAGACGAGGAAAAAAAAAAGATCAGAACTGCATGTTTTACCTCTTACTTGATTTTTGTTAGAATTTATCCATTTTGAACTTTAAGAACAATTCTTTACATTTCCTAATGTCGTCTTCTTAAAGTTAAGACTCCTTTTTTGACTTGCTTCCCAGAGCTACCCACCACCTTTCAAGCCAGTATTTAGTTAGAGCAAGTGCAAGACTACTGCAATCCTCACTTTGCTTTTCAGAGATAACAAATCAAAAAGATGGCAGAGTTCCTGCTAACAAATTAAATTACTCTTAATTTAAGGGCAATAAAAAAGCTCTGGTACCTTGCATTGACCATGTGAGCTGTAGTAACTGAGACAGCAAATTTAGAAAACAATTAACCACCACCAAAACCAAACCAAACAATAAAAAAACTAGTTAAATGAAACTGGAAGAGAAAGAATGTTCATTACCTCTTAAAAACCACATATTTCAAAGTTCAATTTTTACAGTTTGATACACAGTTCTTGAAATAACATCAATCTTTTGTTTCATTTAAATATGCTACACCAAAATAAGAATAAAAGTTATGTCTTGACAAGTTGAGATCAAGTTAGTTGCACAGTGGTAGGAGGAACTAAGCATGTTATTACTCCTAACTCCAAAGCTTTTAAAATATTTTACTGAAGAGAAGGGGGTGCCATACAAAGAGGGGAGAAAAGAATACAAAAAAAACCTGTCCCAGTAAAATTAAACAAACAAAAGAACCCCCAACAAATGAAAAACCAACAAATAAATCAGATATCCTCTTATACAAATCTACATCATGTATAATAAACATGAGGGATCAGTACAGTCTAAACATTTACATACAAGACTTTACCATGATTAAAAAGATAGCACTTTCTGCCAATGCAAAATATCACATATTCTCTCTTTAATTAGTTAGTGATGGAACCTTAAACTGTAAATGTAAATACACTTTGCTTCTTAGAAGTCAGGCTGATCAAACCATTTTCAAGAAGCTTGCAACAATACATAAACTTCAGCTGAAAGCACAACACTTAAATGCTGCAAAGCAAATACTATTAAAAAAACACATCACATAAATGAAAGCTAGGTATTACTTTAATACCTTGATCACAGAAAGTCACAGAAAGCAGAACAAGAAGATGGAAGATAACTGAAAGCATGTACAGCAAATCTACTGAACACCAAAAACCAACATTTTCATTAAAAAATAAACTAGACCTCCAAAATGTACTTGAAAATATTCTAAATACTCAAAATTTTAAGCACCTAAAAATGATTGTTTCCCAGTGATCAAGTACAGACATCTTTAAGCAGAAGGTTTTTTTCCAAAGCTCATTACTGGAATTAATACAATTAAATGCCTTCACTATTATTCTCTGCTTTTCTTCCAAGGTTCAGGATTTTAGTGCTACAGTTTAGGGGAGAAGTCCATAATGCATTTTTCTAACTAAGAAAAATAGATCAAATGAGACATGCAGATCTCCTACAACATCCTACCACAAAACAAGAAAAATATTCACACATACCCATTTTTTTGTAGTATTCCTCCCATGCCTTTGTATAGTCAACCTGCCCTGCTGGGGCTGGGTTTGGCTGATCTCCTGAATTGAGCAACAAGAAATAAAGGTTTAAATAAAATGACTAATTTTGGTTTTATATAACAGTTTATAATCAGATGAATTTTTTAAGCAATAATCTCAATATTACTCAAATGCTTCACTAAAAGCCTATGTGAAATAAGCTGCTATAAATGCAAACAATAACTAAAAGAAACCAAGAATTATGTAAAGTATTCAGCATGCAATCAAAATTCAGAAAAGCATACATCACTCACAGTACATGCTAATTAATGCTAATTAAAATGCATCAAGCCTCTAACTATTGAAATACACAACTTAATACTGCAACTATAATTTTCTTAAAACCACAGGAAGCGAGGCAACTGTTCAAGCAAATGGCAATTAACTGGCTCATTCCATTTTTACTTCTGACTGACCACACTATGAAGATGCAAATTAAACTAGCCTAAGTAGCAGGAAAATTATGTGTTTGGAGTTACATTACAAGACAGAAAAGACTACCTTCATTAAAGCTGACATAAGGAACAGCAACACTGAAAGCTGTAAACAATATTCTTCTAAGAAAACAACTTACAGAATCACAGAATGGCCAGGGCTGAAAGGGACCTCAAGGATCATAAAACTCCAACCCCTCTGCCACATGCAGGGCCACCAACCTCCTCATTTAATGCTAGACCAGGCTGCCCAGGGCCCCATCCAATCTGGCCTTGAACACTTCCAGGGACAGGGCATCCACAACCTCTCTGGGCAGCCTGTTCCAGCACCTCACCACTCTCTCTGTAAAGAACTTCCCCTGACATCCAACCTAAATCTCCACTCCCTCAACTTAAAACTATTTCCCCTCCTCCTGCAGTTATCTACCCTTTCAAAGAGTTGATTCCCCTTCCCTCTGCAGGCTCCCTTCAGGTACTGAAATGCTGCACTGAGGTCACCCCGCAGCCTTCTTTTCTCCAGGCTGAACAAGCCCAGCTCCCTCAGCCTGTCCTTATAGGGGAGGTAATTTACCTTACAGTAACGTTACCCAACATATAAATAGAACATTATAGCACATCTACACCCACAGCAATGAGAAACTTATCCACTTTACTGAGCAGCTACCTTGTCCGTTGGTTTGGGTTGTAGCTGGTCCACCAGGAGGGGCTGCAGGTGGTGGCTGTGCTTGCTGCTGATAATAGTGAGCATAGTAAGCTGCCCATGCCGCTGAATTAGGATCTGTTCCTGGCTTACCTATGAAAGGAAATACAAGCACTTATGAAAACAGTGCTCTCAATTAACTCTGCCCTAGGCACCTCTACTTTCCTCCAAAGAAAAATCCATCTAATTAATCATGTCAGCCTTCTATTTTTCCTTTCTAGCACAAGCTTTCTATTGGGTTTTGTATAAGTGCATTGTATAAAGCATACTTTCACAAGACTGCTACAACACCATGTATTAATTTTTTTAAGCAGAAACATATTAAAAATTATTAAGCAGTCATGTTACTAAACAGCTGCCACAATCAATCATTCTATTACCAAACTTTAATGGTTTCACTCTCATAATAGCCTTGTACCCACAATATTGGCAAAAATAAGGCAACTGCAATGTTTTTTTTAAACAGTAAAATACAGAAACACAGTATTTTTAAGAACCTGGATTCCCATACGTGGCTATAAAGCATCACTGTTTACTTACAGCTTTTTAGTAAAACAAATGATTGCAACATTCGCATCTTCTGTGGCTATTTCCATGCTTCCCTTATTTTTAACTACATCTAGGTAGGCCAATGATGTTGCTTCCTAGAGTCTTATTTCTCTAACGTTTCTCACATATAGCCTGTAGGAACGGTTATTCTTCTTGCTGAATCACACAGAGATTGATTACATTAACACACTGGCAATCCGCAAAAATTTTGTATCTGTTATTAGAAACCATGATGTTCTATAACACAACCAGCTTCCTTTAGTATGATTTGCATCCTTGAAGAACATAAATATCTGCAAATAACTGGGGCCAAATGATGAAAAATTTCACATAAGAACACATATACAAACGACATTTTAGGAGAACTACTACGGGAATGAAAATATGTTTTCCCCAAACAAAAATAGGTAAGCAAGTGCCTGACTGAAGACAAAGAAGAAATTCCCTGAGAAAAAACATCAGACATGAAAACCAGAACACAACAAATTTCATGCAGTATTGCATTAAACAGTCAGATGTAACCAGTCAATATGCATACAGTAGTATCAGCATATAAAAAGCGAAGTTAACAGTTGGCTTTTCCCCTTTTAAACTACACTGCTAGCTTTGACAACTGTGGATTTAAGCAGTGCTGTGCTTAACTTTTCTGAGGAGACTGTCAAAGGAAAACCTACCACATGTTCACTGCAGAAAAGCTTCCACACAAGAGAGGAGTTGCATACTCAGCTTAACATGTTACTGAACGTAAAAGCAGAAGGAACCACATCTATCAAACAGCTTGCATGGATAAACACAGAACAGTATACTCATGACAGATGTAGCCAATACTACACAGCCTCATTTAACACAGAGCTAATGTGTAGGATTCTAAGGTTACCTGTAAATAGCAAATAAGCAATTGCTTGGTTCCACCCCCCACCCCTTGCCTTTTATAGCTCCAGAACAGAAGAACACAATATGCGGTTCACTGAATTTCCAAAGAATCTGACTGTAGTAACTAGCTCCATACCGTGCAACAATAATAGCATGGCATGGAAAAAGAATCTGAGGGGAAAAAAAAAAGACAACACCAAAAAAATGACCCATTTATTGTGTTGAAATGAGTGACTGTCGACACCTGTATAGAAATTGTTCAAGTAAAAGCTAGTCAAAAGAAACACTGCACCAATGAAAACCTCATTAGATAAGTCAAGTATTTACCTGAAAAACAGCAATAAAATTATCCAGACAAGTATTTACCATTTTTCTTAATACAGCCATAAAAATGTGGTAATGATAAGACCAACTTTTTGGCAGTGGTTTTGAATTAAATGACAACTGGTAGGCTGAGACTTCAAGTCAAGTCATCCTGAATCATTCTACTTTAAAGTATGGCAACAGGCATTTTTAAATACAAAACAGAATGCATGCAAAATTACCATATAAGTTTAGGAACTGAATCTACAGATGGTTCTTTGCCAAGAGTAGCTATATAAAAGACTTCAATGCAAACGAAACTCTAGCTGGTAACATCCTAAGTCCTATCTTTTTCCACTCGTTCCAGGATCAGTGGCTATCAGAAAATGATGTATTCCATTTTAACAAAAAAGGAAACTGAAATCTTTCAGTTGAAGTTCCGAAGAATGCCTGCCTCAAACAAATGAGGTACAAGTGACTCAAGCATCTAGCCTTACCATGCCTTCTGTGACTGCAGTTGAGATTCCCCACTTGCTTTAGTCCAACCAAAGGATGTAACTTAAAAGCAGGAGACTAAAACTTCAGGAAGTTGTAATTAAGAAAAAACTCCTGATTTTGACAAAGATAAACAGAAATAGAAAAAACAGATCCTACAAAGATGCATTTCAAAGAAAATACAAAACTATTATAGCAAAGCCTCAAAATACATAATCCTATGTACTTTTACTGTACTAAAAACAGTGCAACAGAAGTTTTATTCCTCAAAAACAACGGAACAAAATATATTTGTACCAGACTCTGGAGAGCAATCTCATATAGGTCAACAAAAGCTAGAAATACACAATACAGCATACTGTTCAAAGTCAGGATCAGGAAGGCTGTTTAAAATAAAATAAGAACTCATTGAGAACTGAAAAAGAAAACATATTCTCAAAGAACTTTATGTAACAACATAAAAGCTAATCATATTCCATTACAAGAAAAAATGGATGGATTTGCACAAAATCAGATAACCAAGCACCTCACAAGAAGTATCATAAACCAGGATGCAAGATCAATAACATTTAATGAAGAAGCACATTGCAGCTCTAACAACCACATTTCAACATCTCAAGAAACTGGGAAAGTATAAGTCATACATAAACTGACCATCTGTAAAGAAAACCTTTCAGATTTACCAGTGAAACACATGTATTAAGAATGCATATACTTATAAGGACAAAACAAACACACTCGAAGATTACCACACTACAGTAAACTGTGCTCCATTCCCTACCTGGATCTGGTGGATTTGGTGGCTGCCAGTGCGGATAAGCATTTCCCCATCCTTGAGGAGCATACGGAGCTGGAGGACCACTAGAAAAGACAAAGTAATAGAATAAATTGAGAACCAGACTCAGGATCACACTACAAAGAAGAAAGTTCGTTGAAGCAATACTTACTGAGGTGCTGGGCCAGGAGGCCCTGGATTATAAGGAGCTGGGTTATATGGTCCCATGGGAGCACCAGGGCCTGGTGGGCCAGGAGGTCCATGTGGGCCAGGAACAACACCATGGGGTCCATGGGGAACAGGTGGACCCAATGGATTTACCGGACCCTGTAAGAGAAATAGCACATTGATGAAAATAAACCCAGAATAAGGACTTTTCTGCAGTTTAGATGTATAAATATGAACAATTTAAGAATGGAATCTAAAAGGTCTGATGGCTTTTAAATTTCCTTGGAGAACACGCTCGTTTTGGTAACATCTAATTAGGTTAACAAATAGAGTTAAATTATTACTTCCACAGCTGCTTTAAGTTGCATTTATTTCAGTTCTCTTGATGAAGAATTTCTGAAAAGCACTGATTTTTCCACAAGTTGAATTAAAAAAAAAAAGCACAACACCAACAACAAAGCAAGACCATCAGCGTTTTAAAATACTGATGCATCTCAATCTGGCTATCACAATAAAACACCACATTTGTAAGATCAGGTACAAAAACCAGGCAGTAAACTTTTTTACATGCACATACAGACATCCAAAAATACAGTGTCATTTAAGAATTAGAACTGTAACTGAATATACCAAGGCTATATATAAAAGAGTAGAATACTAAACAAGGAGTTTACTAGTTTTAAGAAAATGAAGGATATCTTTGAAGTTATCAAGTATGCACAAAGCAGGCATATTCAACAACTTACCATTACAAAAATAAACTTAACTATCAACACAGACACAACTCATTGTCAACCAACTAAATATCTGATAAAGTAATTTGAAGTGAAATAAAAGGAAAAAAGTATCACAAGAGACCACTTATAAAACAAAATATACTTGAACACTCACTCCAATCTTTTCTTCTATAAGTTGCCGTGCATAATCTATTTGCTGGGGCGTTCCACGGATAGTAAACATCTTCATGTTTGGATCTGCATTAGGAGGAGGATTTCTTTGAAGTTCTATTCTAGCACCAGACTGTTGGCTTATGCTTTTAATAGTTTCACCACCTATAATGAAACAGACAACTTTAACATTAATGCAGTAAGTGAAAATACTAAGATTCAATCAAAACAGAGAAAAATCATCCGTAAGGAAATTAAAAATAAAGAACTGAGAAGTCACTTATGCATGAGTTGTATAAGAGCACTTTATGAGCACATAAAAGTCTCTTCACTGTACCTAGACTATTGATTGCAATAAATGAGTAAAATATGATTTAAGACAATATCGTTACTTAAAAAAAACAACAAAAAACAGCAAAGAACTCTTCCTATGTTGCTTACTTCTTTTTCCACTCATGTAAAGACATAACATTAGTCACAAATAGCAAACAATACCTGCAGTCGTCATTGAGTACAACCATAAAGCAGTATTACATTACAAAACTCCCTAGTAAATGAACATATGGCAATGTTAGTGTTTTCTGCAGTGCGCTACCAACAGAAATACAAACACCCCTAAACCAGCTCTTCCCATTAGAGAATCCCGAGAAGATACCTGTATCATTAGTAGAAACAAAAATTTCAAAACACGTCCTTTGGCATTAAAAACAAATAAAATAAATCAACCTGCGAGGTCAAGAACTGAACTACAAAAGAAGATGACCATTTACAAGCATACACTAACTTAAAAAATGAAATTCTATGAGAAGTGATAATTTTAATAAACACCACAGAAACTGTCAAAGGATTCCACTGCAAAAGATCTTCACCATGTCTGAAAATCAGTTTTAGAGTTGTTTACAGATGCAGTAACACTAGGCTGATGAAACAAATTCAAATGCAAATTAAGTAGAATACATGTTTAAGAATCTAGCAAACACTACAAATGTAGCTTAGTATTTATCACTGTTAAATATGTGAGTTAGAGAAATTGATTGCTTTTAGCTACTGAGGTGTGTTCTGCTGAAGAGAATCTTTCTTACCCAAAGCCTGATAGTGTTAGGACAAGGGGTAATGGTTTTAAACTAAGAGGGGAGATTTAGATTAGATGTTAGAAGAAATTTTTTATTATTATTTTTCTTTAAAACTCAGAGGATGGTGAGGCACTGGCACAGGCTGCCCAATGAAGTTCTGGATGCCTCATCCTGAATGCCTGGAGGTATTCACAGCCAGGCTGGATGGGGCATTGGGCAGCCTGATCTAGTAGCTGGCAACCATGCTCACGTCAGGGAGTTGAAGTGCATGATCTTTAAAGTTCTTTCCAAATCAAGCCATTCTATGAAAAGAATATTACAAGTGCTGCAATTCAGCAGGACTGCATTGCTATGCTATATACAGAACCATACGCAGAGGCTTTTCTTGAAGCACCTCTTTGGTATGGCTATTTATAGAAACAGAAAGAAAAAATGATTTTTTTTTTTAAAACACACAGATGCACATATATATAAAGATACATTGCCTTTGCCAATGATTAATCCAGTTTTGCCAGTGGGAACAATAAAATTGAACTCCTGTAATCCACCAGGGGGACCCATGTTCCAGTTGCCTTGACCTCTACCCCTTCCTCTACCACCAGGTCCTCCTGGTCCACCAGGGTTACCAGCCTAAAAACAAAAAGAAACAAATCACTAATGCCAGCTGATTAACTGCTTGGAATAATCACATCATTTGTTCAGTAATGATCTGATGTTTTACCAAGTTCTTACAAAACACTTGAATTATGTTTTACACAACTCTGCATATCAAAGATCCCTCATCTTTGAAATAGAAAGGATAAACTAAAATAGCAAGAAGTTTCAAATACACAAAGATTTAATTTCCAACAATGTAGTGGCGAGGCCTATCTCATGAAAAACTGTTTTTAAGCACTAATTTCAATTAAAGGTAACAGCATACTGGCTACTAAGAAAACAACAAACAAAGCAAGTCTAAAACAGAGATCGACTGCTGTTCTGTCTTTGAATCAGTATTACCAGTGCCAACTTGATTACCAAAACTGCAGCTGTAAAAGCAAACATTCATATCCCAGACATAACTTTGAAGGAAATTCAGATGATACCATTACAATTTTTCTTGTTACACACTATTTTTAACAGAGGGTTTCTAAAAGCTGAATAGCAGATTTGAAATAACATTAAGTATTACCCAACCTGAACACTTCGAAGGAGATCTGTAATAATTTCTGCAGCATGTTGACATCTGTCAGGAGGCCCTGTGATTTGGGCTATTCTATCAGGAGTTGTTCCATCATCTAGAATAAAAATGAACGATTCCAGTATATGTAATCCATAAAATTTATTCACAAAAGCATACAGATTTATTACCAACCTGGCTTAAATTGGATCCTAACACCAGCATCATTCTGTATCTTTTTTATCATCTCTCCATTTCTTCCAATTACAATACCTACAGCAAACCGTGGTATTGGAACCTTAAACAAAATTAAAGGTTAATGTATTAGAGTGGTAAACTAAGGCAGGACCTATTCCACTTCAGGCTTTTTGAAGAGTGATTTTTTACTTTATTTTTTAATATCAACTATCAAGCCACAAGCTCAATAAATAATGGAAGAAAACATCAAAGAGAAGCAAATCCTCTGCACTGCACATTCTTGTAACGGCAGAAATTGCAGTGGATAGTACACTTTCCATAAGCAAAGAACATGAAGTTCTAATAGGCCTAAATACCAGATGTCAGTAGGTGTAACTTTCAACTTCACCTCTGATAAAGTTATGAGTTCAAAACTTCCATAACAGGTGGAATTAAATATTCTAATGTCTAAACTCCAATTTCTGTAATGACATCCATCATTATATACCATTATATACTTAGCCATAAAACTTACTTGCTTTCATTTACAAGACTTAAATTCTCCAGTTAACTGAGGTTCTTCAGAACTGTTGGTAATAAAATGAATACTGCACACCATTTAAAGGCAAAACTTAAGCAATTAGCAAACACTTACAAACTACAGTTACTTTCTATTCAAAAATTTTCAACAATATTAATCACTTTAACATTTTAACATTAACATCTCAAAATACAGTGAACAAGTTTTTCAACCATGCTTACGTCTATCCCTTCATTTCCTCCTATTCGTGACCCATATTCGTTGCGCACCTCTCTAAAGCCACCTTGATCACGAATTAACTCCAGCACCATTTCCTTGGCTTGCTAAAAACACAAAGAAAGTTCATTTAGGTACTGCAACATCAGCACAGATTTTAAAACCCTCCGAATTCTGAAAGACTCCTTACTTGAACTTTATAAGGGTCTCCAGTTATTCTAAGGGGCTTGTCAGCACCAGTGTTCTGTGGACCATCTTGAATCATGACCATTTTGACACCTGCTCGCTCCTATTCAACAAAAGGGAGGTTAATACTCACTCCAGATCTAATACTACCACACATTTAAAAAACAGATACATACATACCTGTAATTGCTTAATTGTCTCTCCACCTTTACCAATAACTAATCCTGCTTTACTTGCTGGAATCATAATTTCTTGGACTGCATTTCCAGGTCCATCACCATGATGAAAGCCAGGTGCAGGTCTTCCCTTTTCAACTATTTGATCAAGTAACCTTTTTGCAGATCTGTGAAGGAACATACATGCTTATAAACACACTTAGTCCCGCAATTATCAGTTGCTCATGTCTGTTCTCCTTAGAAGAAATCAAATTAAAAGATCTTAGACCCCTTTATGCACTTAAGTTTCAGAAATGCATCAACGACACCTGCTGCTTCATAAACATATACTTCACAAGACATCAAGTGCACCCCCTCTGTAACTTCCTTTAAGACCTTGAAAGAAAAAAAAGAAGTAATCTGGTATCAACCATGATGCAGCTCTCCTAAGGAAAGTGTTTTTAATCCTTTTCCCAGGTTTCTTTCCAGTGTGTATTCTAGCATCAAAATGTCGAACACACCTAACAGCTTCTTTAACAGTTAATGGTATTGTATCTCTGCTGGACAATGATTTTTGCCAAGTTTGTGGAAATTAACCATCATTAAGATCACTATCTCCTAACCAGCTGGGTTAGGGAAATCCCAAGCACAAACACAGGCAAGGTGGAGAATGGACTGGAAGAAGTTCTGAAGAGTATTGGTTGATGTTAAAACTCAATGAGTCAGGCATACACAGGTGGCTTTTTAAGCTGCAAGCACATCCTGGGCTGCATCAAAAGAACCACGATGAGCAGGATGAGGGATGTGATTCTTCCCCTCTGTTCTGCTCTCACAAGACCCCACACAAGGTATTGAATTCAGTGCTGGAGACATGGATCTGTTGAAGCGGGTCCAGAGGATGATCAGAGAGAGGGCAGTTTCTTAGGAAAACATTCCAATGCATCAAACAACAGCTAGACTGAAAGGACTGTCTTTCAGTTATAGTTATATATCTGCAGTAATTGTACGTGCGCGAATGTATCCTGAACTGCTCACAGGCTGAAATATCAACTCATCCACATCAACTAATTCTTTCATTCTGCTTGATCAGAACAAGCACAGAAGGGTCTGTAAATTACAAGGATCCAAGTCATCAAATCCACAGGGTTTTGTTTGTTTGTTATACTGAACAACAACATACATGGCTGTGCAAAAAAAAAAATCTAGACTGCACAATGTGCAGCTAATCTGAGAAACACCAGGAATGTCAAAAGGCTCTCTGTAAAATTATCATCAGCCAAAAAATTTCTGCAGGAGAAGCATAATCACTTTCACCCTAAGAAATAAGGAAAAACTCAGTAAATTTATTACCAGAATCCTAAGAAACTAATGACAAAGTAATGCGGTAGGCCTAAAAGCACCCCAGCATCCCAAGATAGTGTTCCTTTACCAAATACAGAAGTAAATGTTGCCCCCTCAAACATGACTATTTTGCCAGAATTACACAGAGAAAACTTAATTCAGGAAAAAAAGATGGAAACCTCATCCTTAAAAATATTATTAAAACTTTCACTGTTAATTGAGGAGTTGACATAGCCACTGTTTATTCTTGCCCAGTGCAAGAAAATCACAAAAAACAAAAGCTTATTCTAACTTTACTCTTAATTAATTACTTAATTAATTTGGGCAACCGAGTGTGAGAACTTTTTCTTTCACCTACAAGCAGCTAGTTTTAGAGTATTTGATACTAACGCTTACAAACAAGGTAAAAGAAATTAAAAAAAGACTATAATAAACCTAGCATTAATATCCAGTACAGTCTTAGTTGCTTTTCAATTCTGCATGAAATGTAAGGATATTGGCACTTCTAACCATTACAAGAAAAGCAGACACCTCACATATCATCAAGTGCCAAAGTAAAATCATTATTACAGCACTAACACCACTTACAAACTCTTCCTTGTAACACGTGAGCCGAATAGACTATAATTAGAAAGGAAACTCCCATAAAGGAATGACATTATGAACAGCGTCATACTTAGCTGCAAGGTACGAGGTGAATGCCATGCTACTTTAACAATGGAACAACATGTAGCTGTAGGCCTTACCTGAAACTATAAAGTGGGAGCAGCTAATGAGGCACTACCAAGTACACCAAGGCAGCTAAGATCATTCCTAGCTAAGCCAAGATAAGCAAGTCTTCAAGTAAGCATAAAACTTCTGTCCCAGTAAAAAAATGATTTCACTATCACCTTCTCCTCTCAACACAGGAAAGCTGAAGTGTATTTTACTGATTGGCATTACTTTTGTACCTCTGGTTACACAGTTTACACCAAATACATACTTCAGAACTGTGAAACCGCACTTTGAGTAACCCCTTCTCTTAAACATTACTCTCCTCCTTAATCTTTTGAATTGCAATTGAGTTTCATTTTTTGCACATTAGATTTTTATTTTTTAATCACTCAGTTGTGCATTTCATCCTCAAGAAGTAACAGTTAGATAAACACTACCAAAAACATGTTTTGGACTTAGAAATTTAAGTTTAGTAATTATATACATACTCTTGTCTTAAAGCCACAAATATGCTGAGGGACCTGACTGCAGTATCAGGGATTTTGTACATAGTTAGCCTCTTGAATGGAAACAAACAGTACCTAAACATTACATTTAGATCTAAAAAATGAAATGTACTGCATATTTAAGTATGAATATCAGGAATTTTACTTACTGAACAGATTCTGGGGTTCCAGTTAACATGCATGATCTTTCAGGCAGGCCCCCACTATCTAGGGTTATGAAATAAAATGAATTTAGCAGTCAGTAAGAGTTGATGAAGCTAGACATAATACATAAACCAGAAGGTCACTGAAGTAGAGTTCTTTCTACTACATTACTTTGTGCTTCTTTAATCTGTGATAACTGTGATTAGCACATGAATTAAAATGTACCTTAAATGAAGGTATGTATGAAGGCAACCAGACAAAAAAAAAGCAAACAAATAATTACCAGGTGCAATCTGTATTTTACATCCTGACTCTTGCTGTATGCGTGAGATCTGCTCTCCACCTCTGCCAATGACTTGGAGAAAGAAAATAGAGAAAAATATTTGTATTAACGGCATCTGCTAAAATCCCTCACTATAACTCAATACTATAGTCAGTCTACTTACTGAATCCAACCATTCCATCTGGAACTTTGTACTCCTCTGTCATCACAGACCTGTACAGAAGGTTAAATCAAACAAAGACAATGAGCATACAGACACCAAAGCACTAAATTCAGAGATAACATCCCATTAAACTAGAGGAAGGAAGTCAGTGCCCCAGCCATTGACTTGGCATTCATGCCTCTCGCTAACTTTAAAAGTCACACACAAGCATAGTGGCAAGCAAACTAAGAATATTCAAATGTGACCAAAACAAATTTAACATGAATCAGTTGATTCTTTCCTTTATTCTCTTTATTAACTGGCATGGAATATAGAAAAGGCCAGTGTATTATTAAAATAGTTTCATCTATGTGTCCCTCAACAGCAAAGGACAGAATACTTTGGATGCATTTGTTTACAGACAAGTAACAAAAACTTAAGTTGTACCAAAAGTAGCTGACTGAATGATAAACTGTGTTAACTCTACCCCTAAAATCTACCGCTTTAATCTATTACTAGGACAGCACCAAGTTCCTTTCTCTTTAGATCTACTTCCAACTTTTGATAACACTACTAAGGAAAAGCAATTCATTTTCCTCCTACTATTTTAGATGCACAGCATTGACTGCCAAGAAAAGACAGACAACAAGATATTACCAGATGCATTTTAAAGGTTTGGCGTGGGAATTCTGCAGCTAAATTTCAATGTATGACACAAACATGGAGTAACTGTTTCATGCACTGATATCACTTTTCCAAAAGAATTTCTTGAAACTGCTTTCTTTCAGTACAGTGGAAAGGTTTACATAAGACGTAGCGTTAACTCTTACCTTTGTTGTTGATGCATTGGTGGTAGCTGATTTCCAAAAGCTATAAAGCAAGTTTTGAAAATTAAATTCCAGAAAATGCTATATCTCACAGCTTTTTGTTTGATAAAATTCATCCGCACAGACGTCTGTCCAAACTGTCTTTTTAAGAAGTCTTATCAAGAAGTTTAAAAATGTAACAAAAACATTCTCAATTGTTGCTAACATATCCTTTTCAGTTTCACCAAGCAGATCTGCACAGCTTGAAAGAAGGAAGGCATAACCCCCCAGCCATTCTTTTGATCTCACTGATTAAAATAGCACCTACCAGAACACAGTTTGAAACTGTCATTCTGAAAATACTACATTTGTTTAGGATTTTTTTTTTCCAACAAAATAAAAACTACTTACAGTCATTCTGAGGAGCAACTTTCTTAGCATCTGGTTGATCTGCAAAATTAAGATTTTTTAAATATTTTGCCAAGAAATTCAAGAACTGTTAACACCTTTTAGTGTGAAGTGCAACTTTCCAGTGTATTTTAGTCCCCCTTTTTTTATTTTTCCTTTTTTATTTTTCTCCAATTTCAGGGAGTTGATCATCTGAATAGAAGAAAGAATCTCACGAGCACTCAGCACTTGGTTAGTACAGCTGAAAAGATGTTAGGTTTTTCTGCATATCTATTCAGTAGTTAAACAAAAGGTGGAGATTTTAGAACACACAGTAGATCACTCAGATACCCAGTCACTGAAACTTAACTAAGACAAGGAACAAAGTTTAGGTCTATTGGTTGCTCAAGCTAATGATGCTTCTATAGTTTTAAAAAATCCATACAAAAACTAACAACAATTTAAAGAAAAAATTCTGACAATGACTACAAGTCTAGATCAAACATTTGAAAATGCAATAGTATCACATAGCAATGCAATCTCAACCTGGATGTTGGAACAAAACTCCTATCCAAATATCAAGCATTTCATAGCATAAAACTTCAAAAATAAAAAAAAGCAGATTCAAAGCAACTACATCACTACCATCCAAATCCTTTTTGTACAATAAAGGAATAAAAGGCATAATTAACCTTTATCTGAAAGGACAGACTTCAGATGCTTCCTTCCCACCCCAAAATATAGGTTATATGAACCACCATAATTTATGTGCAGCAAAAATTCAAGACACATATTCCAAGAAATATTTGTGTCTATCCAGAAAGATCCACTAGTTTATGTCATGTTTACATACTAAACACAGGTAATAAATAAAAATTCCTGCCTTTAAAAGGAGAGGGCATTCCCTCCCAGTGTGTTGTACTGCTCGGACTTGTCCAAGAGCCATCTACACATAAAATAAAAAGAATACATTACATATATCATCTGAAGCATCATTAGCTCATTTTTGTATATTAAAAACCTCACCATCAATAGAAAAAAAAACTTTATTACAGGACACAAGAACTCCTGATATAAAGCCTTAGTTACATTCTGTAGACTGAGTTTCAATCCTCTCAAAGGAAAAAAAAAAAAGCATTGCCCTTTTGTAAGACCTGCGAGAACATTTCAACAAGTTCAGAGATTTCTTTCCATATTTTAGCCAGGATTTTGAGTTTACTAAACATATCAAACCCTGTTCAGTTAAAACTGGCTGCTTAGTAAGAGACAGAAGAGGACACACACACACACTTCAGGAGAAATCTTTATTACAGTATAAAGGATATCCAAAAACCTGCAACAAACTAGGAGACTTAACTATGATCTCGTATATATTATATACTTTAATATTAGACTAAGTGAAAATGTCTACAAAGTAGAAAATTTACCTTCCTGTCTTTTTTTAGAGTCCTATGCTTTTACAATAAAATTCATTAATACTATTAATTGAACCTGTGTGATAATAAAGTATATGAAATAACCCAAAGAATGGCCACTTCTCATTCTAATTACCATTCGGAAACTGCAATCTGTTGGATGTAAGAAACAGAAGACTTCAATGACATACCTGTAACAAGCGTTTCTCAGCCACAAAATTATCTGCCCCCCTCCCCAGCACACATTTTTTTTCTTAATAATTTTAAGCCACAGTTTAAAGTATTTTAAAGCAGTGGTTTAAAAGAAGTTTCCCCATTGAACTGAAAATGAAAAAGCATGTCATGAACAAAATGCTTTTGTATTGTGCTATGGAAAACAAAACAAAAAACAGCACCTGAAATTTTTCTGGCACCCTGACCACACTGAGCAAAAATAAATGCAGCAGTAAGGAGTGCATACCTCCATCCTCAAGAGGTCTTTTTTGTCCTCCATAACCGTAGTCATTGGAATTCATGGATGTACCAGCATCTCCTCCAATTTTTGCTGCAATCTAAACAAAAGGCAGATATGAGGGAAAAAACAACAACAAGAAGCAGATCTTCTGAACAACATTAAGCTCTTCAGATGATACAAACTACGACGACCCAAAACAAGTAAATGGAAGGCTGCTGCTAAAACAGCTCTGGCAAAGAGAGATTAATTTTTTTAGTGTATTCCAGGAGACCGCGGTCATCCTTTAATGTCAAAGCTTTCTATATTATTTAATCGGTTAAACAACCCCTACTCTTCAAATAATAAAAACTTTTTTTTTTTTTTTTCCCCTCCTAAAAGGGGCTTTTCCTTTCCTGCCCGTTCTTCAAGAAACACTGCGGCACGTCGGAGAGCTCGACTGCTGGAGCCAGTCCCGACTACGCCAGCTCTTCAAACGTTGCCCAAACCGCGATCGGTTATTACCGGACGAGGCGAAAATTCTGCCTGAGAAATCATGAAAGCATCGCCCGTAGCGCAACAACTACAAAGGGAACTTCGGGCTGAAGAATTTCCGAATCGCAGCCCTCAGTCCGCGCCTTCCCAACCGGTCTGAGCAGGTCGGCGGGCAGCGCGGGCGCCTCGGGGGACACAATACGGGGCCGAGAACGGAGCCGCCCTCCCGCGCCGAGCCCGGGCCGCGATAAGGCGCCGCGCCCGCCGAGATTTCGCCTCCCCTCAGGCCCTGCGGCGGCGCGGAGCCCCGCGAGCAATGGCGGAGCGGAGGCGGCCGAAGGCTGACCGGGAAACCTTCCGCCACCCCGAGGAAGGCGGACTGGCGGCGCGGAGGGAGGCGCGGGCACAGGACGACGCCGCTCCCCCACCCCCCACCACGCTGAGGAGCCGGCGGAGCGCCCCTCCTCACCGCCCCCCCGCGCTCAGGCACCGAGGCCCGGCCGGGAGCTGCCCTGGGCGCCCATTGATTGCACAGCCGCGTTCCTCACACACCTGCCTAGCTCTCTGCAGCGCGTCTTTAAAGGCATCGTTCACTCCTCCACCTCCACCGCCGCCTCCCCCGGGCGCGCCCGAAGCAGGAGGGGGCACCGTGGAATAGTCCGCCATACTCGCTCCGCCACCGCTTCCTGCCCCGCTCGCTGCCTGCCAAGAAAGAAAGAAAATGGCGGCGGGCGGGAGCCTTTCACATTCCTGCGCTGCATCGTGCTCGGGGAGGGGGGAGGAAGAGCGGGAGAACCTCGCGAGACCTGGGGCGGGGAAGGGCGAGATTTCATCGGAGGCGTGCGGCCTTACTCTTCCGAACCGCCGGCGGGGCCTCCAGGGGGTGCCCTTCAGCAGCGGCGGCCGGGCGAAGAGCCCGTGATGTTTCCAGAGCGACGCGAGGTTTAACAGGCGCGCGGCGATAGGGCTAGAAGCGTCACGTGGTAACAGCTGCGCCGTGGGCGACTCTCGCGTGATTTCGTCGCGGGCTCGCGAGTAAGAGCGGCGCGCGGAGGTCCCTGGGAGCAGGGCAGGGCCGGGAGTGGTTGAGGCGGCGTCACTGGTGAGTGCGTGAGGGAGGTGGCAGGCGGGGGTTGGAGGGCGACGGGCGGCTCTGCGGCTTGGCAGTCCGCCAGCGTTAGGCAGCGCCTGGGGAGACGTTCAGCGCCCTGGCGCCTCGGTTCCTTCCCGACGGGTTTCCTGGCTGTCGAAGGAGCGGGTGGTGCGGGTGGCGGCGGTGCCTTCCTCAACCCCGAGCTCTGGTGCTGCTCGCCGGGTCGGTGCGCGGTCGTTCGGTGCGCTCGCGGCGGGGCAGCTGTGTAGAATAATAAAAACTTATTGTGGGGGAGAAGCCTCGGGGTCCGGTGGCGGTAGGAGGGATCCCAGCTGGGCTGCGATACCGGGCTGCGAGCCGTTCAGCGCGGTGCGTCACTCGGCGGAACGGCTGCGGGGCTGTGCCGAGTAACGGCACCGCGGGGCGGGCTTTTCTCTTCCGCCGCTCGGTTCTCTTCCTGCGGCTATTTCTGAGCGGTTCTTGTACGGCTCGCTGTTGCTGCACGGTTTTGATAAGTGAGGGGCGAGGGGACTTGTTTTTCGTGGCTGAGCAAGCATAAGCTTTAATGAGGGAAAATGGGAGTTAGCGGGGCTTTGTCTGGGCCCTGTTTGGGTCTTGTGACCGAGTTGGGAATGAACTGACACGCTGAGTATGGATGACGGTGCTGGAAAGGCTTCGCCTCTAGATAAGGTCATAGAATGTCTGTTTACCTACTGTAGCTTAGGGACTAAAGGGAAGCTAAGCAGTACAGCAGCATCTGAGGGATCACTTTGCTCTACTCTATATCCATCAAACTGCCTTCTTCACAGACTGTGTTAACTCAGTGCTTAAAAAAATAATCTGTGCTTTTAAGCTGAGGGATGGTTGGATTCTTTCAGCCTTAAGTGATGGTATTTATGTGGATAAGCTCTTTATTTGAGGAATGGTTGATTTGGGCTTGGCCTGGCTTTGGGCTGTGTGTGGGGAGGGGGAATCCATTGAGCTCTGCAACTCTGAACGAGCTGCATCAGAAACTGTGCCCTGCTGTCGTCTCTTGTTCTTTGCCTTGTAGTTCCATGCCGCCTTAAGAAGTTCCAGGTTTATCATTGGTCCCTTCAGTTGGGCTGTTTATAATTAGGATCCTTGCAGTATGATGAGAATAGGCAATAGGAAAGTCTGCGGAAACACCTTGAGGTACAGTGCTGCTGCTGAGGGCGGATTATCCTGTGTCTCCCATCCAAATAACTCCACCAAAGGAAACTGAAAGCACGTGCTAGTTTTTTTCCTCTATATAGCTCTTTGGAATTTAAAAGAGTTTTAAGACTAATACATTTAGTTTCCACAAAGTTGAAATTTCTGTATGCTTCTAGGTAAATGGCACTGTATAATTAGAGTGAGGTGAAACTTTCTAAAGGAAAAGATCTGTTTGCGAGATTTAGCACATGCTTCCAGTTAATTTAGTTCTGTTAACTGGGGGAGGAGGAAAAGTAAAATTGCTTGGGAAAAATGTAAGCTTTGTTTTCATGCTTAACTCTTTGTTCTTTTGAAACAGTGGTTGGAGCTTGAACTATTTTTTTTTTCTATTTCCTTTGTTATTGAGAAGTTGGCTAGGTGTACCAGCCAGCTATTGAAATAAATAAGTTAATTAATACTTGTTGACTGTGTTGTGTTGAAGTTACTACAGGCTATGTCTTTCATGTCTTTGTCACTTCTTTGAAGATGTGAAATGTCTGTGTCCTTAATGGCTTTTTATTATAAAATGGGATAATGACTCTTTGTTAAGCTGTAGGACAAGCCAGTAGCATGTAACACTAATGACTACAAAGTGAGTATAATGCCTTGGGCTAATGGAAACACTTGTGTAGTATTGTGCTCTTCTAGTTCTGTTTGTGATCAGCTAAAGATAAGTGAGTGCTAATTTTGGAATTTTTTACCAATTTTTTTGGTAATGTTTGAGGTGGTGCGTGTGAAAATGGAGAGATGCTTAACGTATATGTGAGTTTTCAGTCTTTCACATACTTGAAGGCAGTATATTTCTTAGTCTTGGACCTTTCAGACAGCCAGAAGATTAAACTTAGCCAATCAGAGAGGAATACTATCTTAAGTGTTATTCTGTACAAGTATTAGATTCTTTTTTCATCATTCTTGATTTGATGACTTGATCAATAGCTAGAGTTGTTTCTGTTTCCCCTGATGACACTTAGTTCTGATCTCCTTGAAACCCATACATCTGAAGCACACTTTCCTCTGTTTTCCCTTGTTAAATATCACTTCTGTTGAGATAATTACCACTGTGGGATTAATTTTTGTCCTCATTTTTGGGTGGGAAGGCTAATCCTGAACAGTGCCAACTGCAACATTCTTTCAGTTTCCTGCCTGACTTGATATTGTAATGTACAGCTGTGATGGTTTTGTCACTTGCAGAATTACTGTGTTTTCTCAAAATCTGTCTTCTAAGAAATAAAGTAGATGGGTAAACAAATATTTGCATGGTGCTTCTAGAGCAAGAGAACTTCTGTTTTGCCATGTAAAATAAGCTTTTATTCTACAGTAACTTGTTCTACTGCTAAGAAAGGTTGTGTGGTTGAGAAATCTACCACTTTGAAATTTTAATGGATAGTAGATAACATAAGAGGTAACAGATAATGTGGAGCTTTAAAAATGTCCATCAGTATTTCTTTTGGAGGTTGGAGGAAGGTGTGTTTCCTAAGCTTCTTAATGACATCTCATGCTATTTGGGCCAAAGGTATCTCTTTTTTTTTTTTAAAGTAGTCGTCAGTCTAGAACATAGTGAACAATTAATAATAGTGACAAGTCAGAAAACTTACAGTAGTATAGATAGTCAAACTTGAGTACTGGAGAGTTCTGAAACTCGAATCAAATATTTTCTGTGTGAAAGAGTCCTTATTTCTACAAAAACCTACTTGAGGAAGTTCTAAATCAGATAGTTCAGTTTTGTAGAATTATAGTATGAAATTCTCTGCATATGGTAGGGTGCTTGAGTGCATGCTTCCATTAGCTTCTGTTCTAAGTTTTTTCTTTTTAAACAATGTGTTTCAACTCTGCTGGTCCATGGTGACCAGATCTAAGGATATGGTAGTCCTGAAAGAAGGACATAGGACTCCTCTCATAAGCTAAATAATTAAATTTCTTGTATATTTGTTCCTGTTGCTCTTCAGGAACAAATTTGTTTAACTTTGCCTAAGTATGCTAAAATTATGATAGTCTCTAAGTCATTGTGCTAGTTTTACCCACTTCGCTTTCTTCAAATCATTGCTCATCTGGCGAAGTTTGCATTTGGTTTCTACTGATTTCAGTACTTTAGGAGATTCAAGTGAACTGACTCAAATCCTAACTATCAGCTGGTGTTCCTGCTCTAGCGAAAGGTATTCAGGATCTGCAGTGCTATCAGTAGAATACTCCCTATGTGACTTCTGAGAGGAGTTGCAGCATGTGCTCTGCATCCAAACAACAGTTCACGTTGTCATGAGCTTTCATGCTTACCACGTATGCAATGAATTAATAATTATGAATTTCAGAGTCACAAGTTGCACCTAAAAGAGAATGTGGTGGATAAAACTAAAGCATTGACTACAAAATCTTTTCAGTGCTCATGATTAAGTTCTCTTTTAAGAGAGATGAAGAGGAACAGTTTTTAGGATGGAAATAGAAATCTGTGCAGAATTTGCTTACCCAGCATGCTCAGGAGGATCTAACAGATAGTCAACGTGTCTTCCTATTCAGCAAATATTCCTGTAGTGCTTCATTCCAGACAAGTGCAGAGGCATGGGTTTTTTTCTCAGGAATTTGATGGGATGGGAAGGAAAAAAAAAAAAAAAGAACAGATAGGAAAAATGGAAGGGGAAGGGCAACCTGCTCTGCTGCAGCTTGGTGAAAGCAGAACCCATTTGTCTTCATTTAGTGATATCAGCTTTCTTCTTGGCTTCTGGTTGGAAGAGTGAACTTATTCCCTAAGTCCACATCTGGTCCCTGTGTATCTACCAAAAATAGTGTAAGCTTCAGAATAGCTTGAAAGTCTTCATTTTTTTTTGTCTTATATTTGGTTGTGCTGTTTTTCTTAGCAAAAATGTTTTATGACATGAAGCATTTAAATAAAAGCTGTGTAGATATTGTAGATGCTGTAGAGCATATCTTACACATTTTACTCTTTGAATCTTACTTCATGTGTCTTTGATTAAGATTATAAGTGGGATGAGGCAGATGAAAGGAAATCTAATTTAAAAAAAAAAAAAAAAACTTAAAAGGGAAAAATAGTTCTTTGCCTTAAGATAAGGAGTTAAGGTCTACCAGCCAACTCCAGTTCTGGGGTTGAAGATAGTATAGCAGCAAAAGATTAATGTTGCCTTGCTACTGAAACCAAGCGGGAGGCAGCCAAATGGCATTTGGCCACCAGTGTGTTTGATGTGTAACGAATATGGAAGGATAAATCAGAGAACATGCAGTTCTTCCTTAAATGCAGCTGAAGCATGCAATGAGACAGATCATCATATAGTGATCTCTGCACAATGCAGTGCAGAGAGGCTGCTGGATAATGTTAGTCAGCATGGTAGCGTGGTCATCAGTGTCCTACTCTGTTTGCAGGCCTGCATGTTTTTCTGTGGATGTCATGGGAAGAGAAGCTTTGAGAGCCCAGAGCATTTGCTTGTTGTTAATATCTGCAAAACTTCTTCCAGGAGGGGTGAAGTGAGAAAGGCTTTGCATATAATAGATTGGTTGGTAAAGCTAGGTACGGAAATTGCATATGAACAGGGGGATTAGGAAGGGCAGAGATGGAGACTGGGGATGGACTTCTAAAGGGAAGATAAAATTAATACAGTAGTAGCTGTAGGGGACAGAAGTGTCTCATGTTTTCTTCTATCAACAGAACTCTGAAGAAAGTGCATTCAGGCACCTATAAAGGTAGTAAAAGATATAAAAGATTCAGGTGCACTATATATTCAGAAAATATGCTTTCTAGAGTAGCACGTCCTAGAAAGATAGTTCAATCCTCCATTGTTGGTTTAGTTTGATAACTTTCATTAATTTCTAGTCTGTTAGTAGACCAGATGCTGGAATTTGCATCTTTTTAAAATCCACTCCATCCAGACATTTTCTTACTTAATTGTTCATCTTACTATGTTGTATCGTCTCTTCTTCTTAGGCCAGCATGCACTTGTTCATCTGAAGAAGTAAAGCCTTATAAGAGAGGACTGAAAGTAGGACTATCAAACTTGTCCCTTCCT